ACAGATTTGGACAAAAAACCAAATTCTAGATACATGCTTGTTAAAACAAACATACCTAAAGCTAATCGAGAGCTGGAGCAGCTTTACAACATCAGATAAAATACAATTTAAGAGCCAAAGTCATTATTAGGAAAAAATTATTCCTTATGATAGATTCAATTCCTGGAAAACTGGACTACTATTTTACACCATGTATAAAAATTAACTCAAAATGGATTAAAGATTTGAATGTAAGACCTGAAACCATAAAACTCCTGGGAGAAAACATACATGGTAAGTTCCTTGACATCATTCTTGGCAACTTTTTGGATTGAACATCAAAAGCAAAGGCAACAGAAAGTAGAAATAAACAAATGGGACTACATCAAACTAAAAAGCTTCTGCAGAGCAGAGGAAACCACCCACAAAATGAAAAGGCAGTTGACCAAATGGGAGATAATATTTGCAAATCGTTTATTTGATAAGGAGAGAATATCCAAAACATAAAGATTTCATACAAGTCAATAGCCAAAAAACGAAGAATACGATTAAAATGGGCAGAATATCTGAATAGACATTTTCCTGAAAAGACATACAGATGGCCAATAGGTACACGAAAAGGTGCCCAACATCACTCAACATCAAAACCACAATGAGATATTGCTTCACAACCTCTGAGAATGGCTATTACCGAAAAGACAAGAAATAGCAAGTGTTGGCGAAGATGTGGAGAAAGGGAATCCTCGTGCACTGTTGGCGGGAATGTAAATTGGGGCAGCCACTCTGGAAAACAGTATGGAGGTTCCCCAAAAAATTAAAAATAGAGCTACCATATGATCCAGAAATTCCACTTCTGGGTATATATCAGAAGGAAACGAAAACGCATTATCTTGAAGAGATATCTGCACTCCTGTGTCAATTGCAGCACTATTTTCTTTTTCTTCTCTTTTTTTTAAGATTTTATTTATTTATTTGACAGAGAGAGAGATAGCGAGAGCAGGAACACAAGCAGGGGGAGTAGGAGAGGGAGAAGCAGGCTTCCCGCTGAGCAGGGAGCCCGATGTGGGGCTCAATTCCAGGACCCCGGGATCATGACCTGAGCTGAAGGCAGACACCCAACCGACTGAGCCACCCAGGTGCCCCAACAGCACTATTTTCAATAGCCAAGACATAGAAGCAACCTAAGTGTCCACACATGGTTGAATGGATACAGAAAATGCAGTATATATACACAATGGAATATGATCCCACCATAAAAAGGAAGGAAATCTTGCTATTTGTGACAGCATGCCTTGTACCTTGAGGCCATTATGTTAAGTGAAATCAGTCCGATAGAGAAAAGACAAATTCTGCATCTCACTTACTTGTGGAATCAAAACAAAAAGCAAAAAACAGGGGTGCCTGGGTGGCTCAGTTGGTTAAGTGTCTGCCTTTGGCTCAGGTCACGATCTCAGGGTCCTGGGATGGAGCCCCGCATTGGGCTCCCTGCTCAGTGGGGAGTCTGCTTCTCTCTCTGCCTCCACCTGCTGCTCCCCGCCCTGCTCATGCTCTCTCTCTCAAAGAAATAAAATCTTAAAAAAAAAAAAAAGGCAAAAAACAAACCCAAAATGGAATGCTTTGATCCAGAGAACATATCGGTAGTTGCCACAGGTGGTGGTGGTGGGGGATGGGTGAAATGAGTGCAGTTTGTCAACAGGTACAAACTTCCAGTTACAATAAATAAGTTCTGGGGGTAAAATGTGCAGAATGGGGACTATAGGTAATAACACTCTACCGTATTTTTGAAAGTTGCTAAGAGAGTAGACCTTAGAAGTTCTCACTGTAAGAAAAAAAAATCTGTAACTATGTGTGGTGATGGATGTTAACTAGACTTGTTTTGGTGATCATTTTGAGATAAATATCGAATCATTATGTTGTGTACCTGAAACTAATATGTCAGTCATACCTCAAGTTTTAAAAAAGATTCAAGAGGTGCCTGGGTGGCTCAGTCGGTTCAGCGTCTGACTTTGGCTCAGGTCATGAGTCCAGGGCCCTGGGATCGAGCCCCGCATTGGGCTCCCTGCTTAGCGGGGAGTCTGCTTCTCCTTCTCCCCCTGCTCATGTTGTCTCTCTCTTTCTCGAATAAATAAATAAAATCTTAAAAAAAAAAAAAATAAAGATTCAATTCCCAGGGTGCCCGGTTGGCTCAGTAGGTAGAGCATGTGACTTTTTTTTTTTTTTAAAGGTTTTTTATTTATTTATTTGGCAGAGAGAGACACAGTGAGAGAAGGAACACAAGCAGGGGGAGTGGGAGAGGGAGAAGCAGGCTTCCCGCGGAGCAGGGAGCCCAATGCGGGACTCGATCCCAGGACCCTGGGATCATGACCTGAGCCGAAGGCAGACACTTAACGACTGAGCCACCCACGCGCCCCTATAGCAGGATTATTTATTTATTTTTAAAGATTTTATTTATTTATTTGGGAGCGAGAGAGAGAGAATGAGAGAGAGAACACGAGAGGGGGTAAGGTCAGAGGGAGAAGCAGACTCCCTGCCAAGCAGGGAGCCCGATGCGGGACTCGATCCCGGGACTCCAGGATCATGACCTGAGCTGAAGGCAGTCGCTTAACCAACTGAGCCACCCAGGCGCCCTAGCAGGATTATTTATAATAGCCAAGATATGAAAGCAGCCCAAGTGTCCACTGACCGATGAATGCATAAAGAAGAAGTGGTATATTTATGCAATGGAATATTATTCATCCATAAAAAAAGAACAAAATCTTGCCATTTGCAACAATATGGATGGACCTAGAGAGTATGAGGCTAAACGAAATAAGTCAGAGACAGACAAAATACTATGATTTCACTCATGTGGAATTTAAGAAACAAAACAGACTAGCAAAGGGAAAAAAGAGAGAGAGAGACAAGTCAAGAAACAGACTCTTAACTACAGAGCACAAACTGATGGTTACCAGAGGGGAGGGGGTGGGGGACGGCTGAAGTAGGTGAAGGGGATTGAGCTGTGCACTTATGATGAGCACCGGGTGAGGTATGAAGTGTTGAATCACTACGTTGTACATCTGAAACTAATATTACACTGTATGTTAACCGGAATTACATTAAAATAAGAAAAAAAGTACATAAAGATGTTTCACATAATTTGAAACCAGGCAATGTCATGTCAAGACCATTACCTGATTTGAGGGGTTACCATTTTACACCCCACTTGCCTGGTGAGCATTAAAAGGTGTTTGACAGGAAGTAGACCCATAGAATCTCTTATCCACCACTGGTGGTTAACTTGTGAACTACTTTGGAAAACAGATGTTATCATCTCTTAAAAATGGAGAGTGAACACAGACCCCATGACCCAGCAAGTCCACTTTTAGGTCTATTCCTAAGAAAAACTCTGGCACATGCACAATAGAAACTTATAAAAATTGTTTACAGCAGCAAAAACCATGGGAACATCCCCAAAGCACATCACCAGGAATGGACAAATAGATCACGGCACATTCAGACAGTGGGATATTATGAAGCAGTCCAACTTCGGTGACCAGCAATGTGGACGACTCTCAGTAATATCATGTTAGGTGCAAAAAACCAATCTCCCAAGAGAACACACAGCATGATACACTTTTTATAAGGATAAAAAAACAACTAGAATGAACAATGAACCCGGAGGTGGTTATCGGGTGGGAGGGTGGGGGGGGCAGCCAGCCATATGGGTAGATGCAGGTTACTGTCCAGGGCCTAACGTTTACTTGGAATGATGCCTTCTTGGATGCTTACGACATTAATAAAAGTTATTGTTACTTTAACTGGTTAATGAGGAGAGAACCGTGCAGGGACAGAGGTTTATATAATCTAACTATGTGCACTTCAGGTCAAGACAAAGAAACAAAAAAAAAGCTGCATCGTGCTCCACTGGGTAGTGTGCCCCCAGGGCTAGTCCTCCCACACCTCTCCTCTTCTTGGCAACCCCCGCCCCCCCGCATCCCTTGTGCTGTCCCGTGCTCTCCGAGCGCTGACGTCACACCCCTTCTACCAAGCCCTTCTCTACGCTTCTGATCAGGTGTCTGTCTGTCTTCCTCAACGGGGAGCTTGTCCAGGGCAGAGGCTCTGTCTGCGTGTCCCCTGGGCATTGAGTGACCATTTGCTGAATTGTCAGCCCTCACCCTTCACAACCTTCTCTGCCAACTCTTGACCATCTTGCCCAATCCTGGCATGTTTCTGTCTCCAATTCAACCTGGCTCTTTTTTTGGGAAGTCACAGTGAGTTCTTCTTCCCCTCAATGCTTTCCCTTCCTATTTCTTCTCTGTGGCTGGTGCCCAGATTTGGGCCTCCTCCTCTCTTGCCTGCATCAGGCTCCCCACCTTTGGTTCTTTCTCCACACTGATCACCAGAGATCCTTCTAAAGTGTATTTCACATCTCCTCTATCCCCAGTGAAAACCCTTCCATAGGTTGTCACTGCCCTCGGGACCAGCCCGGACTCCTCAGCTGTTTCTAAGGAAGCCCCTGGGGACCACCATGCTCCCCTCACCCACTGTGTGTTCTCTCAGCCAGCAAACACGCTGTGGCTTCTCCTGCAACACAAGGACCCACTTCACTTAGGGGAAGCTCTCTAGTCTGTACCCCAAGGACTAGGAGCCATGTTCTCCTCGAAGCTCCTACTGGAATATCAACTCTGTCCCCAGACCATTCGTCATCCAAACAGATGGAGCTCCTCACACATCTGCATCGGCTCAGGCACAGGGCCTGGCACAGAGCAGGTCGTGCCTGCTGGAAGGGAGGGAGGGAGAGCCCCTTGTATTCTTTCTGTATACTTTACAAGGCACGATCTCTTGTGACAGTCTTTGGATTGATGCTAGTTTTTAAGGTTGTATGTTTTTTTCCTCTGACCTGCGGTAACCCCCAAGGACAGCATCTTAGGAATCTCTGTGCTGGGCACAATGCTAGGCCTGAGGCCTTTGCTCATTAAGGACAAGCAGGGTGAGGCCTAACAGACCCCACAGTGCTCCCTTGCCCTGGAGCCTTCACTCACCGTGTTGAAATACTCGACGCCGGTGGCTTCAAAGGCCCTTGCCACAGCTTGGGTTGTGGCCACACAGGCTACTGGGTGGCCATTGCCAATGGACTTGCCCATGGTGACAATGTCGGGGACAAAGTCTTCTCCCTGTAGCTGGAAGGCCCAGAAGTGCTTGCCTACTCGGCCAAAGCCCACTTGAATCTCGTCTGCGATGAAGAGCCCTCCAGCCCTGCGGACGTGCCTATGGCAGAGGACAGACGGCTGACGGGGTCTGCAGTAAGAGTGGATTGGACCAGGAGCTGGGGGTCTCGGATTCTGAACCCTGGCTCTGCCAGCAGTAAGGTGGGGGCATTAGGCAGGTGGTTGGCTTTCTCGGGGCCACCATTTCTTCTCAAAATTCTGGCCAATTCAGGCTGAGGCTGGAATTTGGAACAAAAGGTCGGGAAACCCCAATACGGCCCTGCCCTCCCTGAGGCACCCCGTCCCAGCTACTCACTCTGCCACTTCGGGGAAGTAGCCGGCCGGGAGAATGATCTGCCCCGCAACACTGGGCAGAGACTCCACAAAGAAGGCTGCGATCTGTGGAGGAGAGAGAACGCTGGGGACACCACCGGGGAGGCACTGGGTGGTAGGCTAGGCGCATCCTGCCAATGCTGGCTCAGCGCTGGCTCCTGGCGGGACAAGTCAGCAGCGTCGCCGTGTGGCCCCTTTGGGCTCCAGATCGCATCTGGTCTGGGACTGGGTTTTCTTTCGGGCTGCAAACCAACTCTTACCACGGGGAATTCTCCAGACTCCTTGTACTTAGCACGTCCCGGATGAAAGGCACTGATTTCTCCCTCCTTGGCCTGTTCCCTCCCTGCCCTGGTCAGTGACTCCCATCACCCTCACCGAGAGAAATGAGGCCCCCCTCCATGATCCATCGGTCAGCACAGCCTCTGCCTCTCCGCCGTCTGTACACCCCACGCGTCCCCTCCACCCCGACACACCTGTCTCGGCCTCCCATGGGTGTCACCTAACAGGATGCCTCCTGCAGTCAGTCCGTCCTCCAGTGGCCACCAGGGCGATCCTCGGCCCAGTCACTGAACTCATCACTGTCCTGCTTAAACCCCTTCAGGGACCCCACTTCTCACAGCTGTGACCTCCAAGCTATGTCGGGTCTCGGAACTGCTTCAGAGACTACCGCCCAGATGGAGGGCCAATGGGGCAAGAACCGGTCGCCCCTGCTGCCCCCAGAGCTGTCGCTTTCCTGGTTTTCTGTAAGCAGAGGCAAAGCGTCTGAAACGCAAACGCCAACCTCCCCTGATCTGGTTCTGCCCATCTGTCTGGCTTCACCGCCTGCTTGTCTTGGCCGTCCATCTTGCGTTCAGCTGTCACTGCATCAGCAAGGCCTTCCAGAAAGCCCTCCCGCCAATAGCTGACTCCCTCCCGCTGCTGTCGCCACGGCCACTGCTCCCCTAGAGCACACACACCTCTCCGGTTTGCCCCTGCGCTCCATCTCGCTGCAACACCCTGGGTGGGGCCTCCTCACGGCAGCAGGCCGGCCCCACGCACGTGCATCCCCCCGACTCGTCACTCTCCCTCTGAACACCCTTCAGAGCTTCCCAGTGGCCTCCAGCCCCTCAGCACAGCCCTGTGGTCCTGTGGCACAGGGGTCCTGCCTGCCTCTCTCGGCTCGTCTCCTGCCAGCTCAGCCGGGCCCCACACTGGTGAGGTTCCACCTCTGCAGGCCGCCCCTCTGCTTAGCATGCCTTTCCTCTCCTCCCCCCAGTCCCCACCGTGAGCGCTAACCCCCCTACTCACTGCAATCAGGCAGCACCTCCTCCAAGGACCCTCCACGCCCACACCAGTCCAGCCTGGGCCCCTGCACTCCTGTCACGCCCAGGACAAGTCTTCAGCTAAACTCTCTCTTGGGCACCTAACCTCCTCTGAGATTCCTGAAGGGTGGGCCCCGGTTCCGGGGTCTCTCAGGGTGCCTGGTCTCTAGCACTGCACTGACAACAGCGGGAATGACGGGTGCTGTTCTGTTCACGGGCCTGTGCAGCTGCAGTTACCTTCCTGCCCTTCTCCTGCACGCTGTTCACCACGCGCTTCACCTCACTGGCGTAGGCCCCAGCTGGATCGGGGTGGTCCTCCCGGTAAAGACCCCGGTAGGTGTCTGGCAGAGGTGCCTGTGGGGAGTGACAGCACCATGTCATCTGGGCTGGGGGCTGGGCACCGACCTGTTGCCCGCTTGGGCAGTGCATACCACATGGACCCACTCCTTCTGGCCATCCAGGTCTCGGAACTTGTAGGGACTGATGTCGATCAGGGAGCTCAGGTGACCGTGGTAAGCACTGAGAGGAGAACAGAGAGGGGCTCAGGCCCAGGTGGCACACACTCCACGGCCCGGCCCCGACAACTGTCTCCCCACCTCAGGAGCTTCAGGGCAGACCAACCTGACACAGCCCCCGAGTCCTAGGGCTGGGAACCAGCACAGTCCTGGGAGCCTGGGAGCAAGACTTCCTGAGAGGCTGCTTACTAGCTCGGTAATGGTGACTAATCATTTAACCTCTCTGGGTTCAGTGCTCTCCTCTGTGAAGTTGGGGGCGGGGGGCTTGGTTTCCTCCTACAGAACTGTAATGAATCCTGGATGGGATAATGCTCCAGCCCTGGGCCTGGGCCCCGTGCATAGCAGATACTCAATAGCATCAGGACAATTTTCATACCTAAAATGTGGGGCCAAGTCTCACCACCTTACAAAGCATCCTCTGCTCCCAGAAGAGAGGCCCGGGGGAAAGAGCCCCCTGGTGTATGCAGGGGTGTCTCTATGGCCAGGTCCACATGCTTTCCTCCACGAGCCCAGGCCCCTCATCCTCCTGCCCAAGGCACTCAAAGCTAGAGCCTCAATGACCCCCAGTAAGTGGGCCCCGGCTTCTGGAAAGGGCACTTACTGGTCTAATACCACCACGTCCCAGTGTTCCGTGTACTGGCGGGCCAGCCTCAGGGCCAGGTCATTGGCTTCTGACCTATGACAGAAAAGGAGGGCAGTGCTCAGACAGCTGTCCAGGTCTTTCCTCCTGGATACCTGCTTCCTACAGAGAACAGGGAACGAGGAGCCCTTCCAGCAGCAGGAAGAGTCTCAGGATGCTATTTGTGAGTCGTCTGAGTTCATTCACTCAATGAAAATTTTACCAAATGCCTTCTATGTTCTATGAGCTGGGAGGGCGGGGCAAGTAGTAAGTCAAACAGGTCCTGGCCCTTCTGGAACTTATATTCTAGTATGCGTCATGAAAGCCAAGCCAAAGCAAACCAAAAACAACAAAAAAAGGAAAGAATGATCATTTTGGTAAGTGCCCCCAAGAGAACCACACAGGGCCTCCGTTTAGATAAAGGGCTGAATTGTGTCCCCCCAAATTCCTATGTTGAAGTCCTAACTCCTAGCACCGAAGAACGTGACTGGATTTGGAGACAGGGCTTTCAAAGAGGTGATTCAATTAAAATGAGGGCAGCAGAGTGGGTCCTAGGCCAGTTGGACCCGTGTCCTCCTAAGAGGAACTGTGGACATACAGAGACACAGGAGGGGTGCAGGCACAGAAGACTGAGTGAAGACGCAGCAGGAAGGTGGCCAATCACAAACCAGGGAGAGAGCCTCAAGGAAGCCAAAGCTGCTGACCCCTTCTTTTGGATGTTGGCCTCCAGGAATAGGGGAAATACATTTGTCACTTAGGTCTCCCAGTCTGTGGTGTTTTGTTACGGCAGCCTAACCTAATACAGGGGTCAGAGAAAAACTCTGTGAGGAGACACCACCTGAGCTGTGGCCCCACAGGGAAGGTTCTAGGCAGCGTGAGCAACATGCTCAAAGGCCCTGTGCAGGAAAAGTGCTCAAGTGTGCTCAGGGAACCGAGACGGCACAAGGGAGGCCGGGGGCAGCACGGGAGAGGAAGTGGGGAGACACTCAGGGGCCCTGGAAGGTGCTGGATTTTCTTGTCAGTGCTGTACCAAGCTATTGAAGAGAGTGTTTTTTCCAGAAGATTTTAAGTTATCTCCACACCTGATGTGGGGCTCGAACTCACAACCCAAGATCAAGAGTCACATGCTGCACTGACGGAGCCAGCCAGGCACCCTCGAGAGTTTTAATTGGAGAAGGGACATGATTTAGCTCCTACCTGGGGAGGAAGTCTCTGGCTGGGTGGGGCTGATGGAGTAGAAGGGGATGGGAGGAGAGCTAGGAGGACACCATGGAGAGCAGAAAGATGGACGGAGTTAGAAGACAACCTGCGGACAGACGACAGGGACGTGATGGGGGCCTGGGAGGAGGGTGTGTGGCTCCTGCCTGGAGCAGAGATGCAGATAGTGCCGCCTTTACGAGGTGAGACAGGGTGGGCATGGCAGTGGGGGGGGTGTCCTCCTGGGAATACCCGGGAGAGCCAGTGCCACGGTCCCACACCAGCTGTTGACGGAAGACCACCAACTCTGTTTGGACACATCAAGTTGGAGACGGTCCGGTTGGAACCTTGAGGCTGGAACACATGGGAAGCATCTGGGCTTGAGGCACAAATTTGGGAGTCACCAGCACGCGGATACTATGCTGGCCCACAAGACGGGGTGAGACCACGGAGGGAGAGGGCTCAGAGAACCAGCTGCTTAGGACCGGCCCTGAGCAAGAGAGGAGGAGCAATCAGCCGAGGAGACAGGAGACCGAGGCATGGCCAGAAGCTGGCAGAAACCCCGCAGCATGAAGCGTCCTGGAAGTAAGACCAGAGAGCACTTCCAGACAGTGGTAATGCTGAGTCCACTGCTGAGACAGGGTAAGACAAGGACAGCAAAGACATCGCTGGATTTGGCAACGTGGAAGTCACTGGAATCCAGCCCGAATGTGGCGGCGTCAACTAGCAACCCTGCCCCCACTGCCCAGCCCAGGAAGCTGACTCCTGGACCCAGCTCTCTGCTCCTCCCGGAGAGGCTCTGGTTCCGGCTCTGCCTTCTCCCACGTGGATGACCCCGGGCAAGCTGGATCCTTTCTCTGAACTACCATTTCCTCATCTGCAAAGCGAGGATGGGAAATTCCACTTCCTAGAAATGACCGGGGACTGGTGCATGAAGAAGACATCACTTTGATCCAAATGCCGCGACGCGGGATTTGTGGGAATGTTCTCTCCCAGACAGGCTGGGCTGGTTCTATGCACAAGTCATCATGTGCTGACGTGCATCATCGCTTCTGTCCCCACTGCCACTCTGGGTGTGAGCGACCATCACCTGTCAGCTGGCTGTTGAACTGGTGCCTAACCCTGTCCATTCTCGCTCTTCCTCGGCCCCCGATGACATCACTTGCCTGATTAAAACCCTCAGACGGCTTCCCGAATGCTCTCAGGATCAAAACAAACTCCTCACTTTGAATGTATCCGCTCGTACCTGCTCCTCTCCCTTTGGGTCCTCAAGTGTGCACAGGGCCTTTGCACAGGCTGTTCTGTGGGCTGCGGGACCCTGACAAGAATACTTCCAACCGGGTGGGCAGCTTCCTTCCTCCTCATCAGCTCCGTGCCTGGTAGTGCTCCTTCAGGGCAGCCTTCTCTGACCGTCTCTGAGCAGGAGCAGGCCCAGGGCCCCCCACTGCTTCTCCATCTCATCAGGCCCCTTACTTCTCCTCCAGACAATGACCCCCCCACCTTAGGAATTCTGCGTTTATGTGAAGGACCCCTAGTGACGAGGGCGGGGATGTTGGCCGTAACCCCCCAGCTGTGCCAGTGTACTCATAGGGCAGAAATAAAGGAACGTATGACCTGGGTAAGCCCCAAGGATGATCATGGAATGGAGGTAAAGGCATGCCTTACGAAGAGACCAGAAAACTGGATCCAACAGAGCCAGCACCCAGGTCTACCGGCTGAGCCAGGGCAAGCCTGGCTCTCCCCCAGAACACACTGGGTCCACTACACGAGGTTTCGCCTGCGGGAGCAGTTCTGTCTGTCTCCACCATCTCACCCTCTGGTCCGGGGAGGCGGGGGCGGGGAGCTGGCCGAAGTCCACTTACCCAGAATTCAGGAAATAAAACACACAGAGCTTTTCCGGCAGGGTCTCTGCCAGCCTCTGTGCGTAGTCCACGATGTTGTCGTGCAGGTACCGGCTGTTGGTGTTGAGCACCCGGTTCTGTCCGTGTGCGGCCTGGACCACGAGAGGGTGGCAGTGCCCGACTGGGAGAGAAACACCTGTGTCACTCAGCGGCTCCGCTCAGCTGGCCCCACTGGGCCTCCCCCAGCCCCGGGCCATAAACCTAGCCAGAAGAGAGCAGTTGGGTGGGAGAGGAAAAGGGGGGGGCTCAAGATGGTGTGTGTGTGTTGGAGTGGGGGGGACGGAGACGGCGGTTCTGGACAGGGAGACCTGGAAAGGAGTCCCGGAGATTCTGGCAGAAGGAAAGGCTGCTGGCGGAGACCCTATCTAGAGAATCCAGGTCTTTAGGGAAGCTTCTTGAGGCCGGTTAGGCAAAGACGGGATGTGGGGAATGTCTGTCAGCAGGCTTGACTTCAACTAGTCAGTGGGGGGCTGGAGGTAATGTGGATTGCCAACAGCCGGGGATTATAACAGTGACCATGTGCTGAGAGCTCACCACGTGCCAGGCACACTCAAAGCAAATTATTTGAATTAACTCATTTATTTCTCCAAAACACCTTGAGGTGAGGTGCTAGTATGATCGTGTCTGTTTTGCAGATCAGCAAACTGAGGCACAGAGAATTAAGTAGCTTGCCCAAGATCATAAAGTAAGTGGAGGGGAGGGATATGAACCCAGTAGTCTGGACTAGAACCCCGGCTTTTAACCTCTACTTCATTAACCCCTATTGTGCCTGTTGGGTCAGACTCCCTTTCGTTCCATCAGTTCTGGGGGCCCCACCTGGATAACTGAATTCCTACCTCAGTTTCCTCGTCTAGCACTTGAGAAGGTCCCTGGGGCTGAAGCCCTGCCATGACCCCCAGCACTTGGCCAGGGCCCTGCCGTGTGGCTGGTCATGGCCAGGCTGACACTCTCTGAGCTCACCATCAGTCCCAAGTGGGCCTGGACTTCAGACCTAGGTTTCCGACTCCTGTCTGGTTTAGCACAGCTACCACCTGGATACTCTAGAGTAGCTACACCAGAAAGACTGGGCTCCTCTGCTCAGCTTAACCCAAGTTCTCCACACCTCTCTGCAATCTCAGGATCCCCCTGGGACCAGGTTCACAGCCTCAGCCCGCTCCCCTGCCCTGCCAGCCCGAGGGATGATACTAACCATGAGCCACATTGTTGATACAATCCAGGTATTCTGCACCCTGTTCGTCATACAAGTACTGTCCTTGACCCCGGACAATCTTAATAGGATCCTCCGGAAAAAAGAGTCTGCAAGAATCGCTGTGAGAACAAGTGGACAGCCATGTCTGAAGATCTGAATGGAAAAGTCCACCCACCACAGCCTCCCCCCGCCCTTTTCTGGGAGGGACAAAAGGTTGAAGGGCACAGTGGTGCTTCCTTGTCTCTGGTCCCCCACTGTATAGGTGGCTGGAAAGGAGGAAAGTGATGTGTTAAGAAGCTGCTAAAACTGAAATTGCTGAAGTCATTTGAAGGCTGTATGACCTTGCTCATTTCTGCATGTGCCCCCATTAGTCCCTGGGATCCCAAGGAAAGGTGGCTGCCCCAGACCCATGGGGACTCCTTAGGGCAGTATTTCTTTGCTGGGATGGGTGCGAGGGAGGGCGCCCCCTTTACGTGGCTGGCGCTCAGCCCCGAGTGGTCCTTGCCAGCCAAGCGTCTCTGCTGTCCCGCTGGGTGTCAGCCCCAAGCTCTGGCCAGAAGCTGCCTCACAGCCCCAAGTGCCGCGGAGAGCACGGGTGGGCTTTCTCTAAGGCTTCTTGGGAAACGCCCCTCCCCGCCCATGCCCACCCTTCGTCCGAACTTTGAGCCTCTTCCCGGGTCACCCGCAGGCCAGGCCCAGGTCCGGGGGGCGGGCGAACCCTGGGGGAGGTCCTCCCAGGTGCCAGGGCAGAGGCCTCCTCCGAGGGGCAAAGGCTGCCCAGAGCCGGGCAGCGGCCGCCGCTGGGGGCTGCCCGGGGAGGACGCAGTGCGGGAGGCGGCCGCGGGGACCAGCTGCTGGCCGCCGGGTCTGGCGGGCCGGGGAGCTGGAGCCCGCTCGGGGCCCGGGGGCTGGGGTTCCTGGGCTCCGCGGGCTCCGCGCCCGACGTGCGTGCGTCGTGCGTGAGCGCACCGCCCCGCGCCGCCGTCTCGGTACCTTATCAGCCGCCGCCTCAGGGCCAGAGTCTCGGCCTTCCCGCGCCGATCGGCGGCCATGGCACCCGGCGGCTGGTTGCGCGGAGACGCTTCGCCGAGAAGCCTCTCGCCTGCTCGGCCGCCAGACCCCGCCGCGGCCCCGCCCCCGCCGCGGCCCCGCCCCCCCGCGGGTTCCCTCCCTGCGAAGGGCTCCTGGGTGACCCCGCGGCTGCTCTGTATCGCTGCAGAGTTCTGAGCTCAGGGTGTCTTTATACACCAGCCTTCCTGGTGTATAAAATGGGTTGCCCCGTGAGCGTTAACTGGGAATGTGTGACAGACACCTATCCCAGGGCCTGGTTCACAACAGGAGCCTCAGGGGAGGAGATGAGATCATCAGGGCTGGGGCCCGACCTAGGACTCCCCAGTCTCAGGAACAAGCAGCAGGAGGGCGCAGTGTCACTGCTAGGACTGACCAAGGGGGTCATGGGCCTGGCTAGAATCCAGGCAGGGTGAAGGGACACACGCAGTGTTTTGGCAGGAAGAGCGTTGGGAGGCCTGCTGGGAGACCCCGGGGCCGGAAAGGACAGGGATTGTGCTCCCCAGACACACAGCAAGTGTGCAGCCGAGGCCAGACTCCAGCTCGGCTCTGCCTGTCAGTCCAGTGAGTGAGAAGCAATCGCTGGCCCCCAAGGCGCTGGGAAGCTGGGCAACCAGAGAGATAACCCCCACTTGGGTGGGGCCCCGGGACTTTCTGCCTTGACAAACCCAGAACAAGGGCCCTAGGTTGCAGCCTGAGCAAGCTGGGGAAGGGGAGGTTCCTGCTGTCCCTCCTGTCACCTTTCAAGAGTCTCAACCCTCTGCTTTGCTCCCTCATTGCTGATTTCTTCATCTCTTCCCCCCACGCTGTAAAATGCTTAAGGTATTTATTAAAGAACATTTGGAGTTTCTTTTTTTTTAAGTTGTGGTAAAGTGTACAGTTCAGTGGCATTTTAAGTACATTCACGTTGGGCAACCATCACCACCATCCAGCTCCAGAACTTCTTTGTCTTCCCAAACTGAGTTAGAAAGGAGTGGAGGAAGGGCGCCTGGGTGGCTCCGTCGGTTAAGCATCTGCCTTCTGCTCAGGTCATGATCCCAGGGTCGTGGGATCGAGGCCCACATTGGGCTCCCTGCTCAGCGGGCAGCTTGCTTCTCCCTCTCCCACTCCCCCTGCTTGTGTTCCTGCTCTCACTATCTCTCTCTCGCTGTCAAAAAATAAATAAAATCTTGGGGCGCCTGGGTGGCTCAGTTGTTAAGCGTCTTCCTTCGGCTCAGGTCATGATCCCAGGGTCCTGGGATCGAGCCCCGCGTCGGGCTCCCTGCTCCGCGGGGAGCCTGCTTCTCTGCTTCTCCCTCTGCCACTCCCCCTGCTTGTGTTCCCTCTCTCGCTGTGTCTCTCTCTGTCAAATAAATAAATAAAATCTTAAAAAAAAACAACAAAAAAACACAAAAAATAAATAAAATCTTAAAAAAAAAGGAGTGGGGGAGGGGAAGTCTGAGAGTCCTGTTTGGGCCCCATCTTTGGCCCGGTCTCTTGCCCACACACAAGCCTCTTGTGGCCCAGGGCAGCACAGAGAAGTCAGGTTGGCTCAGGGACTGTCCCTGCCTTGGGGTAAGGGTGAGAAGGTTGCAGTCAGGCCCATATCATAGCTCATCTACTCCTGGGGTGTCTGGGTCCAGGAGGCAGTACCAGGAGGCTGGAGGTCAGAGCAGGCTGGGCCATTTCTGGGCCAAGAGTGTCTCCAACACGGTCAGGACCACAGCAGGAAGCTTCGCCTTCTTCCTGCTCAGAAAAGCCCACTCCTTGCCTCCACGCTCAGCACTCCTCCGTTACCTCGAGGTACCACCGGAGGCCTAGAGGGCAGGGGGTGGGAGGAAGGGGCTGAATCCGGATTTGAGTGTCAGCAGTGTCCCCCAGTCACTGTGACAACCACTAGCACCCTGTGTGTTCCTAGCAGTATCCTGGGGATCAGGAGGCCTGCGTAGACCTCCTCTTCCACCTCAGTTCATCTGGAAAAGGAGATAGTAATCCTTGTGGTTAGTCTAGCCACCATGGCCGACAGCGGGGCTCAGTAAATGTGCTTCCCTCGCTTTGGAAGGGGGGAGTCTGAGGCAGAGAGACACGAGGCTCTCAGTCCTTGAGGCTCAGCTGTGAGGCTGGGAACAAATCCCGAGTCTCAGCTGGGACCCCGAGCACATCATTCTTCTCCGGTCTCTTGCCCCACCAACCCAAGGTTTTGGAGGACTCCACCCGCTCTGTACTTTGAAGCTTGTTGAAATTTGCAGACCTGATGATACACGGTCCGAGGCCACAAGGGGGCAACAATGGGCTATGAATGGACTTGTCTGGCCAAGGGAGCTCCGAGGTCGGTCGGGGGGGAAGAGGGTACATGTGGTTGCCACCCCCAGGAGGATCGGACTGCCAATCACCCAACATCTTGACACTGCCTAGCCGACTCCATGCCCTGCCAAACAATTTGGAAGGACCAACTGGAGGCTATCCAAGAACCTGGGCCCAGTCTGCCTGTCACCCTGTCTTGGCTGTACATCCCTGGGCAGGTGACGAACTGCTCAAGAACCTCAGTTCCCTCATATGTACAATGGAAACAGGGACACGGATCACATAGACCCTGTCCTTCACAGGACTGGTTATGGGATCCAGTGAGGCACCTGGGTGGAGGGAGGAGTGGATTACAAACTGTCGAGTACATTCGATCTGTGAGGTTCTGCTGGGGCTCCAAAGGATGCTTGGATACCCAGTGATCTCCATCAGGCACCCGAGCCCCACTGTGCTTCTGTCCCTGTCCACAATCCTGACTTTCCCAGTGAGCCCCACAACCACCCAGCTGAGCCCATTACCCCCAGAATGGTAAGAGAGAAATATTGTTGTTTCAAGGTAAGCTCTGGGGTGATATGTCATGCAGCATTCATTGGTCATCGGATCAGGGGGGCATATGGGGACTCCGTGATATGAGTGAGTGGACACAGGGCTCAGACGTTATATGGCAGGGCCAGGCCTTGGGTCTTTCTAACTCCAAACCCTCTCTTTGCCCTGACCCTGAACAATCCTCTGGTTTGTTCCTCTGGTTTCTGGGGTGGCTCTGACCCAGGGAGTGTCCCCCTTGTCCCTCCCCACCCAGAGGTGCTCAGGGGCAGTGTGCAAGGACAGGCACACCCAGACACACATTGGGGTTTATTACACGCAGTGATATCCATCTATACAGAGAAGGGGGGCAAGCCGCTGTGCTGGAGGCGGCAGCTGGGGACTCTTGTTGGAGGTGGGGAAGCCTCTTTCCAGAGCACCGGTGGCTGGGTCTCAGACCCTCCTGCGCAGGCTGGCCCGGAACCAGCCCCAAGGCCCTCTTTGTCTGCACAGCTCATCCAAAGGACCAGTTTTGGCAGGCTGGCCAGAGTCTTCTCCCGTGGGAGAGTTGGGGCCAGTGAGACCCAAACTCTGAGCTGCAGGCCAGTCTCCTTGGGCTGGCAAAGTCTCATCGTGACCCTCTTCTGGGTGCTGCGAGATACCTGGGAAGCATCAGCCCCTCCCGTCTGGGACCCCGCCGTCCTCTGCACTCGGGGAGCATGAGGCTTCTTTGCAGCTGGGTCCTCAGGTGGTGGTCAGAGTGCTTGGCCTCTCCTCCAGACCAGAGGACACGTGTTCTCATGGCAGCTGCACCCCTGAGGCCTCCTGAACTCGGTGGGAGCTAGAGCCCCTGGGGGCTGGGCAGGAATCTTGTCCTGCCCAGGGGAACCTGGGACCCAGAGGGGTCCCGAGGGGTGGGCAGCTGACTGTGGCTGAGTCCAGAGGCCAGAGAGGCTGGGACAGCTGCATTTACCGTCCAAGCTCTGGGCCTTTCTGGATGGAGCCGGCCCCAGGGCTCTGGAGCTTTGGGGGTGGGGTGGGGTGGGGTGGGGTAAGTCTCTCTGCTAATCAGGTGGCCGAGGGCCCAACCCAGCATCTCTGCAGCCTCTCCTGACCCAGGCGCTTTCACCTTCGTCTCCTTCCTGGGAAAGCCAAGTCCCAAGGCTGTCCCCCCACGAGGACACAATTCCCCTGGATTGGACTGTCTGCTTTCCTGCCAGCTTCCAATGCTGATCATTCTGGGGCTGGGCCACGCACCCTCTTGAATGTTATAAGGACACAGGGGGTATATCCCGTGAAAAAAGATCAATATATTACTGTTTTTTGTTTTTGTTTTTTTACAAAAATTAAAAATGTCCACACGCATCTGTACAGGTTGTGAGCTGGGTGCGGGGGTCACTGGAAGAGAAGGGAGAGACCGAAGGTGAGCAAGGAGGCCCCAGAGGCCCCACCCTTGTCTGGGCATCCTGTCCTGCCCATTTCTTCTAGAACACGCGTGCCCCAGTCCTCTCATCCCCAGCTCAGGGCTTCTACCTCCTCTCAGTGGGGCAGTTTGGACAAAATCCCAGGCTTTGTCCTGGCTGGGCCAGGCACTGAGTGAGCCCAGGGTGGGCTGTGCCCAATCACCCAGGACCACGGCCCCAAGCCTTGAGCCACCTGATGGGAGAGTCAAAACTAGGGTCATGTCATCATGGGGAAACCCAGCTATTCAGGTGCTGTTGGGGAGCTGCAGATATCAGCCCCTGGGGGCCCCCTCGTTGTCCCCCTCCTCCCAGCCTGCCCTAGAGACTCTTCCCTGCAAGGTACCTTATGCCAGCAGCCGGGCACGGGCAGCCCATCGGGGCCCTGGAAAAGAAAAAGGTTTCAGTGATGGGGCTGGGGGACTGATGAGCTCCCTGCACTCCATACACTCTTGCCCTGGGTGTCGGGAGGTGTAGCCCTGGGAGCTGCCACACGAGGCCAATGGACCCCACCGAGGCAGGGCACGAATGCTTGTCCACCTGGGTAGTCGGGTCACGAGACAGGTGGGCCTCTCACTGCGCTTGCTCTGAGTGCATCCCTACGGGGCTTTGTTTGTTGGGACACCTGAGCAGGGGACAGAACCGGGGCACCGTGGAGGATCGGGGATTGTGCTGGAATCTGCTGGCCAGGAGATCGAAGCTCCTGACGCTGGCTCTGGCCCCTCACGCGGGGGCCTGACAGCTCTAGGGAGTTTCTTCAAGAGTGTTTGAAGGACAGTCCAGGAAGCAGGATGCCCCTGCAGCCTGTCCTGGTCCCTGTGTCTGGGTCTGAGGGGCAGACGGGGCAGGATGAGGCTCTCAGGGTAGAGAGCGGGGTGGGGGTTGGGGCACCAGCAAAGCCAACGCTGGCTCAGCACTCAGACACAAGGTGGGGTGGGGCGGGTGTCCCAGGCAGCCCGGAGGGCGGGGGAGCTGGAGAGGGGCCATGGCTGACCCGTCAGTCAGCCTAGAGTCTCTGGGGAACCCCGGCACGGAAAACACTTCACTCTGGAGGCACCCATGGGAGCACAGCCCCCAGAACTGCCGTGGCCGCACCAAAGGGAAGGGGGCAGGAGGGGCTGGAAGGAAGGGAAGGCAGGACAGAGGAGAGGGGGGTCAGAGTGGTGGGCACAGGTGCCCGGAATGCCCTGCCCTGCCCAGCCCCACCCAGCCCAGCACACAGCACACAGCAGGCCACATCTCATACCGCAGGGCAGGGCCCCCCGGAGCCCGGCGCCCCTCGCTTGCCTCCACATTTGGGATTCTCCTGTTTCAAAGACAAAGGCTGAATGACTTGGATGGAAGTCTCGGCCCAGGGCCTGGAGCAGCGAGGCTGGGCCCCCCGCGTCCCCCTGCACTTTATGCCTACCACTCTGCTCTTCTTGTCTTTTTCTCATTCACCCCTCAAGCCATCTGGGGGTAGGGAGTAGCACCCTCACTGCATGGATGGGAAGACTGAAGAACAGAGGACCGGGCCTCTGGGATCCCTCACCCAGGATCCCCCTTTGTTAGGCGGCCGGCACGCATTGGGGCTGGGGATGGCCGGGTATGGCTATCTGCTCGGTCTTAGTCTGGAAACGCCCTGCTTTGCTGCGCTCCACGTCAGAGTCTGATGTGTGAACCCTCCCAGCCCTGCAGGGAAGGGAAGTGAAGTGTGGTTCCATCAGGCCTGTGGTCTGGTGGGCCGAGAGAAGGAAAGGAGGAAGGTGTGGGGAGCAGGGAAGGATTCTGGGGCATGCAGAGGAGGTGCAGGGGCCAGGTGGGGCCACCCACACCAGCCAAAGCCTCCTAATCCCCTTTAGGGCCAAGGAAGCTGAGAAATGAGGGGCGGTGACGCTGGCAAGGACTCTGCCCCGGGGAGGGGGTGGGTCCCCCTGAACCATGCCCCTGAAGGGATTCAGGACCAGAGCGAGGGGAGCCTCCATGATGGCAGGGACAGCCATGGTGGTCTCTCGGGACTTGCAAGTGAGCTATGAGGACAGAGAAGACATAGTCCCGAGGCGGCGAAGACCTGGGGTGGGGCTCCCACTCTGCTCCGACACGTACCACAGGACATGGCTGGTCCAGGCCCGGCGGTCCTGGCTCACCCTTCTGGCCCTTCACGCCTTTCCGGCCCGGGACGCCTCGCTCCCCCTGCACAAAGAGGGAGATGGGGGCATGGCCATGGCTGCCAGGCCCAGGACCCCTTTTCCACTTCTCAGAGGGATGGGCCTCCAGCTGGCAGCCATCCCTGTCGTGCTGCACCCGCCTCCAACCTCCCCCTGCCCTGGCTCCTTTCTTGCTGCCCCCCTTCTCTCCACGTGCTCCCCACCTTCTCTCCACGTTCGCTCCGGTCACCTTTCTCTCCTCGGGGCCCAGGGAACCCCTGGCCAAAGGAATAAAATGAGGTTTGAGGTTTGCTCTTGCTCTCCGTTCATCTCCATGCCCCTCCCATCCGTCACTGCCCTGCCCCCATGCCTATTGGTGGCAAAAACTGGGCCCGGTCCAGCTCCTAGGTGACACGTAGGCTGGGTGCAAGGCTGGTTTAGAGACAAGCGTGCATTCAGGACACCAGCGCTGCTTCCTCCACGGGAGAACAGTGCCGGTGTCTCTGGACAGACGCCCTCAGGCAGAGTGGCCAGCCAGGGGCTTTCTCTTGCGTCTCTGTCCCATGCAGCTGGTGCTGGCCCAAGCGTGGCTAGGGACAGAGACTCAGGAAACTCGGGATGTTTGTGTCACTATATTTGCCAGACTAAGAAATCATGACCTCCGTTCTCTGCCTCTGGCTTGATCTCTTATGCCCCTACCCGCCCATCCATCCATCTGTCCATTCGTCCATTTGTCTATCCACTCATGCAACCAACATTTCTAAGCATCCACTAGGAATTGCGTTGTGGGCTGGATACTGAAGACAGAGAAACGGATTTGATGGGTCTCTCCTCTCCCCCTTTTTATTTTCTGTGTCTGAGGATGTTTTGACATCTTGAACTTGCTGGGCAGGGACAGGCTGCCCCGCCCTCCCGCCCGCTCTTAGGGGTAGCAAAGGGCCGGCCTGGGAGCACGTTTCATATGTAAACCAACAATCCCCCCGTCACCCCCTTATCTGCCTCTCACGCACAAGCTGATACTTCCTCTGCCCTAAATTATCCCCAGGCCGGGTACCAGGACGCCAGGGGCCACCCCTCCAGCCCGGAGCCCGCCTGCATCGTTCATACTTGCCCGTCTTCAACTGTTTCCTGTGCCCGGCCTGCCTTCCCTGAGGAAACCCCCATAAAAGCTCTGCCCCCCCCACCCCTTTCTTTCCCCCCACCAAACCTGGTGCTTCCCCATGGGCCACTGCATAGCGAGGTGAGCCCTTCCCTCGGGAACCCTAATAGCCCACTCTCTCTTCAATGGCATTGACCTCTCTGGGTCGTCACTCGGTCACCTCCGTAAATTAAAACCCCGCAGGAACAAATGGGACACTTCCCTCACGGTCTAACATGACAGGCAAGAGGGCAGAGAAGATGATAGTCGATGCTCAGTGACACAGGATGAACCAGATGCCATGGGGTCCCGGGGAGAGGGGCTGTTCTACCCGGGTCTGAGATCAGGGAGGCTGAGCAGAATTCCCCATGGCAGCTGGGCCTGGTGGAGTGGGCGCGGGGCCGGAGGCTTGCCAGCTAGAGCAGGTGGGCATGGCTTTGAGATGCTGCTCTGAGCCATGAAGGCCACCGAGGCCACACTCTGGACCTCCCTGGGTCCAGAGGGTGAACAGGATTCAGCATTGGCTTCTTCTCTGGACCGTCTCAGGGATGGACCACCATCCTCCCAGTCAGAAACTCTGTGTGTCTGCAGTTGCTCTCCAAGGGGACATTCTCTCCTCCAAGTCCAGGGTGGACACCAGAGTCCCTGCAGCCCTGATTCTGGTCAGGGAGCATGTGATCAGGCCTGGCCAACCAGGGCACTGCATTTCTTATGGCCAAGTTGATGTTTCAGCATTGACCCAACTGGGGCCAGTGAGAACTGATGAGTCTTTTCTAAAAGGAGAGTGAAGCACATAGTCATTCTCCAGGGTTTGGGTCTGGGAGGATGTGGGTCTGGGGCTATTGCCTCCATCCCATCACCACACCTAACTTGAAATGATACCCCCACAGCAGAAGCACAGATAATAAGCTTGAGAGGCTGGGTTGTGTGGGTTTTGCATTGTCCCTCTGGATTTTTCAGTTAGGAGTCAGTTTAAGCCAGTTTGAACTGTTTTCTTTTGCTGGCAACCCAGACACTTGATCCAATCAACTTTGGACTAATATTTCCTCTCCTCTCCTTCCCACAGTAATGTCCTAGCTGAAGCTTCATCATCTCTCACCAGGATATTGCAACACTGCTCTCCTCACCTTCCTGTTCCAATGCATCATCCTTCCGTCCAGTTATCCATCATCCATTCACCCATCATCATCTACCCATCTTCCATCCACCCATCATCCATCACCCATCTTCCATCCATCACTCATCCACCCATCATCCATCCATCATCCATCTATCCATCTTCCATCCACCCATCATCCATCCTTCCACCCATCCATCATCCATCCACCCATCTTCCATCCATCCATCATCCATCCACCCATCATCCATTCATCCACCATCCATCCACCCATCATCCATCCTTCCACCCATCCATCACCCATCCACCCATCTTCCATCCACCCATCACCCAATCACCCATCATCCATCCATCCAACCATCCATCCACCATCCATCCAATCATCATCCATTCATCCACCATCCAACCACCATCCATTCATCCACTATCCATCCACCCATCTTCCATCTACCCATCATCCATCCACCCATCATCCATCCACCCATCTTCCATCCACCCATCAGCCATCCTTCCACCCATCCATCACCCATCCACCCATCTTCCATCCACCCATCATCCATCCATCCATCCACCATCCATCCAATCATCATCCATTCATCCACCATCCATTCATCCACCCACCATCCATCCACCCATCTTCCATCTACCCATCATCCATCCACCCATCTTCCATCCACCCATGATCCATTCTTCCACCCATCCATCACCCATCCACCCATCTTCCATCCATCCATCATCCATCCACCCATCATCCATTCATCCACCAATCTTCCATCCACCCATCACCCATCCACCCATCATCCATCCATCCATCCATCCACCATCCATCCAACCATCATCCATTCATCCACCACCCATTCATCCACCATCCATCCACCCATCTTCCATCTACCCACCATCCATCCACCCATCTTCCATCCATCCATCCACCATCCATCCACCATCATCCATTCACCCAACTTCCATCCATTACCCATCCACCCATTATCCATCCATCCATCCATCTTTCATCCACCCATCACCCATCCATCCACCCATCATCCGTCCACCCATCATCCATCCACCCACCATCCATCCACCTATCTTCCATCCATCCATCCACCATCCATCATCCATTCATCCACCATCCATCCACCCATCATCCATCCACCCAACTTCCATCCATTACCCATCCACCCATCATCCATCTACCCATCAACCACCCATCACCCATTCACCATCACCCATCCACCCATCATCCATCCATCCATCCATCCATTCATCCATCCATCCATCATCCATCCACCCATCATCCACCCATCACCCATTCACCATCACCCATCCATCCATCATCCATCCATCCATCCATCCATCCACCATCCATCCACCCACCCATCATCCATCCATCCAACCATCATCCATCTACCCATCATCCACCCATCACCCATCCACCCATCATCCATTCATCCACCATCCATCCACCCATCATCCAACCACCCAACATCCATCCAACCACCATCCATCCACCCACCCATCTTCTATCCATCCATCTTCTATCCATCCATCCACCATCCATTCACCCACCCATCTTCCATCCACCCATCATCCATCCACCCATCTTCCATCTACCTATCATCCATCTACCCATCATCCATCCATCCACCATCCATCCAACCATCATCCATCTACCCATCATCCACCCATCACCCACCCACCATCACCCATCCACCCATCATCCATCCATCCATCATCCATCCATCCACCCATCTTCCATCTACCCATCATCCATCCACCCATCTTCCATCCGTCCATCCATCCACCATCCATCCATCCATCCACCATCCATTCATCCACCCATCATCCATCTACCCATCATCCACCCATCACCCATCCACCCATCATCCATCCATCCATCCATCCACCCACCCAACTTCCATCCATTACCCATCCACCATCATCCATCCACCCATCACCCATCCATCCATCTTCCAGCCACCCATCATCCATCCATCCACCCTCATCCATCCATCCATTATCCATCCACCCATCTTTCACCCACCCATTATCCATCCATCATCCACCCATCCATCATCCATCCACCCATCTTCCATCCACCTATCACCTATCCATCCATCCATCCATCCATCCACCCATCAAGTACCTACTCTGGGCTGTGAACTAGACTTGGCACTGGGGACCCAGAGGAAACCAGTCAGTTGGGAGTCCCAGCCCTGAGGAAGGGGGTCACATCCAAGCCCAGCAGATCAGATTACTGTACGGTCAGTGCAAGGGCAGAAGCTACACACAAGAAGAGCCTGATCACTGTGAACGATGAGATACTTACATCTAGTCCTGGCTCCCCAGGTCTTCCCTGAAGAGAGACAAAGAGGACATGTAAGGGGCCAGGGAGGGGGTGTTGGGAGCACTACTGCTGGGATGTTCAGCCTTGTGAATTGTCCACAAGCCTGATTTCTGGCTCTGGGATGGTGTAGTGCAGGGGGTTGAGTCCCCAAGGCCGAGTGACACCGTAAACGTGCAGCCATACTTGGTAGGCATTAAAGGAAGGTCGTTACCTTCTCTCCTTTGGTTCCTGGCAGCCCGATAAGGCCTGGCGGGCCAGCTGGCCCCTGGGTGGAAAAGGAATGGGTCAATTACAGGAATTAGTTATAGGAATTAGTGCCCCAGAGGGATAAACGAGGCTCATGACACTCACAGGCAGGCCGCTGGGGCCTCTCTCACCCAACACACCCTTCTCTCCCTTTACTCCATCCAAGCCCTGGAAGCAAAGAGGAGACATCGGTCAGGGGGAAGGGCTCAGACAGACAGCAGGACAGGAAAGCTTGGGGCCTCAGTGTGAGCTGGGGAGTGCAGGGCAGAATGGACACCAGGCTCTCACGGGCTTGACCCCAGCTTCCTTCCAGTACAAACAGTAACCAGAACCCACACATGGGCTCCCTCACACCCATTTCACAGATGAGTAAAGACAGAGCGAGGGGCAGGGACAGGTCCAGACGCACAGCCAAGAAGCAGCAAGGCTGAAGACCCGTCGGGTTTCTGAGCCCCAGCCTTGGACCTCATCCCTGACAGCAGCTGCCTCTTCTAAACACGACCTCGGGAGGGCCGTGGGGTCAAACAGAACCAGAAGCAGCACATCTGGTCGGGCCATGTGCTTGGCCCCGCTCGGCTGTGGGATTCATGTCTGAGTCCCGCTGGCCTCTGGGCTGGGGAATCAGAGATGTACTCTCCCCCAGAGTGAGTGGAAGAGAAACCAGACCTAGCAAGCTGTGAAGCCAGCTGGCCTCCCCCACATGGGGCACATGGGCAGGCCACACTCACGGTTTTAATTTAAGAGCAGAGATCATGACATTATGTAATACACACCAAACCCAAGACTTCATGTCCAGCCTGTGGGCAGTTGAGAGACAGCTCTGTGCGTAGGGAGCAGGGGGGAAGCGTGTACAGAATGGGGGCGTGGCACAAGGAGGCAGAGGCTGCAGATGAGGGCTCGGGCAGAGGGACAGGGTGAAAGTACAGAGTCCCAGTGTAGGGCTGGGGGGCACCAGCTCTGAGGACATCAGGGAGGTTGTGCTCCAGGGGATTCAGAATGTTCAGGCCCTGGGATAATACAGAGCTGGTTTGGGGCCAAGTGCAGGGCTCTCACTGCTAATTAGCAAGACTTTCTGGAACTATCCAGGCTGGGCATCTGCAGTGAGTAGAGGGGTTTCCAGAACTTACCTTGGGACCCTGGATTCCCTGAAGGCCCTGGAGGAGGAGGAGAGTGGTCACAAAGGCTTATAGGCCACTCACTGGCCCCGTGGCCCTGACCTCTGCAGACTCCCAAGCCCAGACCCAGGCTCTCCCATATTGCTTGATGTGTCCCCTCCCCACCAGAAATCCTGTCCTCCCCTGGGTCACAGCTCCAGGCCTGGGCTCACCACCCCCTGCATATCTCAGCTACTTCACGCCAAACGTTCTTACCATGGGGCCTGGGGGACCAGGGGGCCCGGGGGGCCCCGGCGCCACTATGATCTGGGCCTAGGAAGCAGTCAGAGATGGGTTAGTCACCCCCGCCCCGTCATACCTCACTCGCCCACGCTTGAACGCACTGGACATCAGATGAGCACTCCTGGAGGGGTGGTGCTGGGCCCTGAGCCACTGGGCTGAGTCTCTCCAGAAGGGCACTGCCTGGTGGGGGGCCCAGGGGCTGGCCTTTGGGGTTCTCAGACGGGCCTCAGTTGGAGGACACAGCCCGAGGTGCCCCCTTCCCCCTCCCTCGCTGCCCACAGAAAGGTGGCCTTTCTGTCCCAAGGTTCGGGGCCCCTGGGCCAGGCATTGAGGGGAGACCCTGGTCCTCAGCAGCCCCCCTTACCAGGCTCTCCCGTAGGCTGTCAGATGCCGACTCTCCCTTTTCGCCCTTGCGACCATCGGTGCCCTGTAGGACAGCCTGGCCTTCAGCCCTTTCTGCCCATCACCAGACCCACCACCCACGGTGGTCAGCACCTCCCCTGCCTTCCCCATGAGGCCTCCAGCAGCAACGATGAGTTGGCCTTTGCAGCTTGAAGCAGTTTCCCCTAAATTGGTGACACGCTCTGGGTGCCCAGCAAGTGGGTGTTTGGAGAGCACACTGACAGTTGTATAAATTGTTTCCTGGGAGGCAAGGGGGCACCCAGCTCTCTAGCTGAGGGAGCCCCGTGGATGGACATCAGATGCGAAGAGGGGGCACCTGCTGGCCACTTGAACCCACAGCTCTTTCTGTCCAGCCACAATGACTGTGACGGTGGGTATTTTATCATGTGGCCAGCCACCACTCTCAGCCCTGTTGGGCAGGCCCTCGTGAGTGGGAGGAGGTTATCATCCCCATTTTAGAGGTGGGGAAACCAAGGCCCAGGGAGGTCAGGACACTCGTGCAGGCTTCCAGAGCCAGCAGGGGACAGAGCAGGATGCAAACTTGAGCAGTCAGGGTGGGCTCTAACCACTCTTTGTGCCACCTTTGCGGAGGCCTTGGGAGGTAGGCGGTAGGTCCGTGTACAGAGGCTCAGAAGACCAAGCAGCGAGGGCTGAGTCCGAGCTTTCTTTCCAAGGCTCGGTGCCCCTGGACCAGGTGGAGTTGGCAGGGCCCCAGCGGTGCCCCCCTCCCCCGCGGCTGCTGTTGTGGGCACACATTGGCCCCGGAACCCCACAGGGGGCAGAGTAGGGTGGGGCCCACGCAGCCACCTACCGGGAGGCCCGACAGGCCCATCTCGCCCACCTCCCCTTTGGGTCCGGTCGGCCCAGCCTCTCCCGGGTCTCCTTTGGCTCCTTTGGGACCCTGCGAGCCACAAGAACAAGGGGTTGGTAGAACTCAGCAGCTATGCTCCCTTCCCCCACCCCAGAGGGTCCCCAGAGCTTAGTCCTGGCCAGGCTAGACCCCCACCCCTACGTCTTCATCCTGGGTCCCTGCCTCTGGCCCAGGCGGTGAATGCACCGAGGGGCCTGGATGAAGACAGGGGTGCAAGGGGGGGAGGGGTGGAGGGAGTGGGACTGGGCAGCCCCTGCAGGGGCTCTTACAGAGCTTGGTGGGGGTCAACCCTGAGCTTGCATCTCAGGAACCTGCACCGGGAGCCTGCAACCCCCACGTACAACCAACCATCCACCCAGTGCCCCTTCCGGCCACTCATTCTCTCTCTCAGCCAATCATGGAATGTCCAAGACGCGGCCCTAAAGCCACCGCCATGAATGTCCAGTGATGCCCCTGACACTGTGCTGTGTGTGGGGGGACACACAGGTGTGTACTTACAGCAATACTCATAGGACCCAGGGTAACGGGAACGACATTAGCTAGCATTTGAAGACTCTTCCCTAGATTGCGCCCCGCACACTGCTCTGTGTTTTCCACACACACAATTATGTAAGTCTTACAACTGTGACCATCCTCCCCTCCAGGTGAGGATCTGAGGCTGCCAGAAAGTGAGCAGCTTGCCCAAGGCCTAAGGGCAGAACCAGGACGTGTGCCCAGGCAGCGCACTCTGTCCTGTGGCCTCTAACTCTGCGCGCACACACACACACACACATACGTATGCACGCACACACATGCACACACGCAGCCCACCACTAGGCACCAGGATCACCAAGCAAACGAAAGGCCCAGAGACCTTCTCTCCGTCGATTCCCGGGGCACCAGGCAATCCCAGCTCGCCCTGGAAGGGAACAGAAAGCAAGAGAGGTTACGGTGTCCCGTGGTCCCCAAGAGGGCCTTGTGGCTGGGCTGCCTCCTCTCCCCGATCAGCACGATGTCCCTGGGTTGGATCCCTAAAGTGGGTGGGGTCCAGGAAGGTGCCCACTGGGTGCCCAGCACTCTCCTCAGCTCCTCCGGGCAGATGCAGACCAGGGCTATAATTTACAGTCTGGGAAGTTACAGCTTGGGAAACTGAGGCTCGGGAGGGATCCAATGACTCGTTGCAGGCCACACAGCCCAGGGCAATGGCCGGGACCAGATCTTGCGATTTCCATGTCTCCTGAGCCACGCAGGCAGGCGGTAAACGATGTGTACTGGCCAAAAGAACGGCTACGTCTGCCATCTATGGGACCTGGGGACGTCCCGAGGGCTTACGCGTGTGACTGGGGCTTCCAGGGAGGAGCTAGGGCTGGGAGCAAGGCATCCAGCTTGGTTAGGAAGGAGCGGGGCCACGTTCTCTGAGCCCCCAGGAGCTGGGCCGGGATGCCAGGAGAGAAGAGGGGTGAGCATGGCAGAGAGGAGAGGGGAGGTGGACGCTGGAGTTAAGGGGCTTGCAGGGGGCCACACAACAGGCCTGTGAACTCACCTTGGCTCCGGGGATCCCAGGTGGGCCTGGGGGCCCCTGTGGCCCGGGAGGACCCTGTATGTGAAAGTCAAGCTGGTCAGTGTTTACGCAGGTCCTCCCCCGCATTGCTGGCTCACCCCTTCCCCCCAGGGGCCAGGGCTCTGTCGGGCTGGCCTGCAACAGGTTGAGGGTCCTCATAGCCTGCTTCCCACCCAGTCCCCCGACTCTTGTCTTGCAGCAGGGGGGGGCAGGGAGGTGGCACCAGGGACCGGGTGGGATACCACGGTGTCCACTGCCACAGTGGGTCCAGAATCCCCCTACCTTCAGAGCTAGTATCCCCCAAATATAGATTTCTTCACAATACTCCCCTGCTCAAGATCCTGCGATGGCTCCCTATGGCCTCTTGCAGCAAGCATAAATCCCCTGTTGGCATTCAAGGCCAGCTAACAATGTTATCCCTGACAGTGGCCCAGCACTGCCCTCTCTGTCCCTCCCGTGAGCTCTCTGCCCATCGGCTCTGCTGCCGGCTGTCTGCTAGTGCTGGAGAGTCCTGGGTAAGGGATGGCACCCGCAGCATCTCTAGGTCTGACCCCGCTCCCAAGCTCCCGCTCTGGCCCAGGCTTCCCACAAACCACCTGCCCACCGTGGCTCATCGTCGCCCTCCAGACTTGTGCCCCCTCCTCAAGGCTGCACCCCGCCCAGCCCCTCCTCCCAGCGACCTGTGCCCTCCTTGCTGGCACCTCCATGGAGACATCTCTGGTCTTCCTATCTTCCTCCATCCTCCCACCCAGGCCCAGAGCCCACCCCCACCCCGCCATGGCCTCCCTGCCTCCAGTTGCCCCCACACCCACTTTTATTCACCTTCCATGCCATTCCTCAGCTAACCTGCCCACAATATGTATGTGTATATATATATTTTAAAGATTTTATTTATTTATTTGACAGTGAGAGAGAGAGAGAGTGCACAAGCAGGGGGAGGGGCAGAGGGAAAGGGAGAAGCAGGGAGCCCAACTCGGGGATCAATCCCAGGACCCTGAGATCATGACCTGAGCCGAAGGCAGACGTTTAACCGATGGAGCCACCCAGACACCCCACAATATGTATTGTGAACCCCACTTCTTGGCTCAAGAACCAACTGTGGCAGCCCACTGCCCATCGGCTGGAGGCATCATTCCAATCTGGCATCCAGAATCTTCCTCCTGCCTCCCTGCACTCAGGCTGCTTCTCCAAGCAGGGCCTGGACACACCATGCCTGTGCATGCCCTTGGGCCACGCCACGCCACACCACACCACACCACACCGTGCAGGCCTGGAGTGGGCCACAGTTACCATCAGCTTGTACTTCCCCGAGGCCTGTGGGAGAGAACTGGAATGGAGCTCAGGTGGGGTCAGGTGCCGAGGGCCCAGTCTGGTCTCTGATGCCTGCCCCTCGCCCTCCCGAGCTCCCTTCCTCGGGAGTCGTGAGTGGCTTGCACCCAACCCCTCTCCCCACGGGGGATGGGTCCCAAGTCTGTCGGCCACCGGGCAGGGCTCAGTGGCCGCGCATCTCCTGAGGCTCCTTGGGGGCAGGCCGGGCCGCTGTCATCCCCCCACCCCAACAGCTACTAGAAGACCTAGCCCTCCAGTCTATGTTCCCCGGGAAGGTGCCAGGAGGTCCTGCGGAGACCGGACATCAGGAAAGGCTCTGCCTCTTGCCCGTGAGGAGGGAGCTTCCCTTTTTGCTTTGGCCTCTGGGGAGCTCGGGGCCACATAAGCCATATTCACGGCAGCTCTTAGCATCCATGGGGGGGCTCAGCATAGCCCTGATTTCCTTATTGGGGCGCACCTGGTGAAGCTGGGGTCTTTGTGCTAAAATTCCCCCCCCCCCCCCCCCCCCCGTAAAGAAATGCAGGATTGATATGCAAAGTATGTGGTTGTCTTCTCCGGAAAAGAACCAGGATGTATCCTGCTCCTGCCAGGAAACTACCTTAAGGGCATCCAGGATCCTGCCATCGTAGTCAATCACCACTGTGTCTCCTTGCTCGCCCTTGAGGCCCTGGGGACCCTGAGGCAGAGGAAAAGAGAAAGTAAGAATTTCAGGGCAGAGCCTTGGCAGCCGCGTCTGTATCTCAACCAGGGGCCCTAGGAACCTGACCCCCACGAAGGAAGGTCCGTGTGCCGTGTGCTGGCTCAGCTGTAACCCGACGGGACCCCCGCGAGTTCATCCTCTGGAATCTACGTGGCCACCGGCACCCCAGTCCCTGAGAGAGCGTTCCAGGGCCCAGGCAGCAGGCATCCCGGAGGAAAGCGGGGAGGGAGGCCTAGAGCCAACGGAGGAACCTGCCCGCAACGGGTCTGGCTGCCTTTTGCGTGGGACTTGAAGTCCGCTGAGGTCTTATCCCGGAGTTCTCCGATTTTTAATCTCTTTCGATTTTTAAATGTCGGCCAACAAAGGCGCAAAAATCAACACACTCCCCCAAACGCCCAGACACTGTGTAGACCAAGTGCAACTGTCCCAGCTGGACCTTGGCCTTGTGCCCCTGACTCCCAGGCTCTGGTCGAGGCTGTGCACGCCGCGCACTCGCAACGAGCACACGTCCACCCGGGCCTGCATGCTCGGTCTGAGAACGCACGTGTCCCCACCCACCTGTCCCCGCCCACATGTGCTCGGCTGCCGGCCCCGCCCTTCCTTTCCGAGCCCCAGGCTGCTCTCTGCGGGGCCCACTGTGAGGGGAGGGCAGCGCTCTGGTCAGGGGCCGGGGCCTCAGCTGCCAGCAGCCTCCTCGGTCATGATCACACAGAATCCCACAGCCAGTGCCTCATCCAGCCCCGGCCACCTGCGTGACCTTGTTTTTTCGGAGGAGAAAAGCAGCCTCCCGGAGCATGAGGGCACCGAGCAGAGAGAACAGGATCCCGGATGTTGACTTAAAAAGGTGGGTTGATAGCGGCTGGTCACAAAAGGTCACAAAAGATCAGAGACCAGCTGGGGAGGCTGTGGGTCTGGAGAGAGGAGCGAACCTCCAGGTGGGGCAAGGCCCCCCGCAGGGGGAAGGTTCCCCCCTCCCCAGGTGGCGCATTGGAGGTCTGTGCTTGAATATGAGAAGACAAGACTCTGGGAGGGCTAACACTCACCTGGGGAGGCCTTGCTTTCGCACATGTGTATTTGAACGTTTTACCAAAAGCAGGTATTGTGAGATTAAAAAAAAATTTTTGTTTAAATCGCTAATGAATGATTATTAAAAAAAGACTCCCATTTCCTGGGACTCTACTGCTCCCCTGGGGCCTCCCCGGGGGACAGGGCCTTCTGAAGAACCCGGCCCGTGGGTCCCCTCGGTGTGGCCAGAGGGGAGACTTGCTTACCCGCAGTCCTGACACTCCATCGGCGCCTCGCGGGCCAGGCTCTCCCTGTGGAGACGTGAGGTTGCTGCCATGTGCACACGGCCGCCCCATGCCCCTCCAGTCTCCAAGTCACCAAAAAGCGCAGGGCCCACGTGCTGGAGCCCCAAGGGACCAGTGTACACGGCCGGCACCCCAGGAACAGGGATCCTGGAAGGAGGGCCTGTGGGAGCCTCCTTGGCCCCACGGTGTGTAGAGATGGGCCACCGAGGGAGACCCTGGCGCCCCTGGCTACAAGGTGATTTAGCCACATGGCTGAGCTTGGTGGAGGCTTGTCACTCACCCAAACCTGTGGCCACCCCCCCGGCCAGCCTCTGACTGCCTGTGGAACGAGGCCCCTAGGCCCATGCTCTCCCAGGACTCCCGTTTCACCCCAGGATGGGGGCACTGGTCTGAGCCGCGCACTGTAAGGCACCTTTGGCCCTGGGGCGCCGTCCACACCATTTTCTCCTCGAGGCCCCACGTTCCCTGGCTCGCCCTGTAACAGAGACATTCACAGCTGAGTGAGGGCCAGGTGCAGGCTGGGGGCCGCCTGGGCCTCGTGGCTTTGAGAGCTTCTTGGGGAACACGCCTGAGCCCCCCTGGGGTTGAGAGGAGATGGGCCTCAGGACTCCCCCCAGCCCTGGGGACTCCGGACCACACCACCTTCTCTGGTCTGGGTCTTGGCGTATAGTTAGGGCCCCTCAGGGGCTCTGGAGATATTTTGGAGGTAGGCTGGCGGTCTCCATGGTCTGGGGAAGCAAGGATGATATCCTGGTCCTAGCTGGGGGACAGGATAGAGTGGGGGCCACCTGAGATGGGAACTAGGAGGGCCTGAGGGTGTGCGGGGAGGCAAATGGCTGAATGGGATGCCCCGCCTGGTGTCAAGTGGGGTCCGGGGCCTCCCCTGGTCTCTCTCTGGCCTGCCCTGGGCGTCAGCAGGTGCCCCTCCCACTGTGAAAGGGTCAGCCGGGGGCCTCACCAGACCGATGGGAACTGAGGGAGGTGTGAGGCAGGGGGCCCTGTGGGGGAGGCACAGGTACCTACCTTGGGGCCTGGGGGTCCAGGGAGCCCTGGCTGGCTTGGCGTCCCGTCATCCCCCTGAGGAGAGAGCAGCTGAGGTGCAGCCCTCAGGCCTGGGCAGACCCGCTTTGGCTGTCTCCGCCCCTGTCCCCCCCCCACACACCAGCCCTCTGCTGGCACCAGCCCTGGTCACACTGGGTGGGGACAGGGGTGGGGCAGGTTCCCTGGGGCCAGCCCAGAGCACGCGTCAGCAGGGGTGCACCGAAGGAAGGGGTGGGTAGGTGGAGGGGAGGGGATTCGTTCCTTCAGTCAACCCATAGCTTGTGAGCACCGTGAGCACCGTGAGCACCGTCTGTGGGCCAGGCAGGCGGGGTCCCTGCTCAGTGGGGGAGAGAGAGGCCTGAGGGCAAAGAAATGTCCAGATAAACACCTAGGGCCAGGCCAGGAGGTAGAAGCAGTGCTGGGAAGAGAGTGTAAGAGGGTGGCAGGATGGCAGGACTGAGAGGGATGGTCACCTGGGAGAGGGGACAGCTTTTTGGAGACCTGGCAAGGGATGGGGTGGGGGGAGATCACCCCAGGCCAGTGGTTCCCAAATTTGAGTGCGTGCCACCATCACCCCAGGGGGGCTGCTGAACAGACGACGGCTACAAGTTCTGGTCACCAGGGGGACGCTTGGGTGGCTCAGTTGGTTAAGCGTCTGCCTTGGGCTCAGCATGATCCCAGGGTCCTGGGATCGAGCCCCTCATTGGGCTCCCTGCTCAGCTGGGAGCCTGCTTCTCCCTCTCCCTCTGCCCCTCCCCACTGCTTGTGCTCTTTCTCTCTCTGTGTCTCAAATAAATAAAAAAAAAAAATCTTTTAAAAAATAAACAACAAAAAAATAAAAGTTCTGGTCACCAATTCTGATGGGCACGGGGTATGTCCATACCCCCCAAGCGATTCCCCACCACCAGCCAGGCATCCTACAATTCAACCCAATTCTGATACTTGTCTACCTGGAGAGAACGTCGGATCCCACCGGTTAAGGGCCCAGTCCTACAAGGCTGCCCCAGCCCCCCAGCCCACTCCGGGGAACCAGGAGTAAGCTGGCTCTCACTTGTGTTACAGATCAACCCGCCATAGACTGAAGATTCCCACCACCTCGTCCTTGGGTTCCATTAACTTGCTAGAGCGGCTCACAGAACTCAGGGAAACACTCTGCTTACTAGATTCCCAGTTTATTATAAAGGACAGAACTCAGGAACAGCCAGATGGAAGAGATGCAGCGGGCAAGGTATGGGGAAGGGGCGTGGAGCGTCTGTGACCTCTCCAGGCATGCTGCTCTCCCCAAATCTCCCTGTGTTCACCACCCGGACTCTCTCAGAACCCCATCCTTTTGGGTTTTTATGGAGGCTTAATTCCATAGGTGTGAGTGATGAAATCACTGGCCACTGGTGAGATTGGTTCAACCTCCAGCCCCTCCCTGGAGGGCTGGTGACCAGGACTGAAAGTTCCAACCCTCCAATCATGTGGTTGTTTCTCCAGGCAACGAGCCCCCATCCTGGGGGGTGGGTGTGTGTCCCCAAAGTCGCCTCATTAACATAACAATAGACACCTTCAAATCAGGTTCATCACCCAGGACATTCCAAGGGTTTTAGGAGCTCTGCTCCAGAAACCAGAGGACTGAGACCAAATATGGATTTATTATAAATCACAACATCCCAGTGGCCCACCCCTAGTGTCTCTGACTAGGTGGCTCTGAAGGTCGGCCCCGAAATGTGCCCGTCTAACAAGCCCCCAGCGATGCTGATACTAGCTGGTCCCAGGAACACACTCTGAGAACCACTGTCCAGACCCCTGAAGTGGGAATAAATTTGCTGTGTTTGCGGAAAGGAAAGAATGCGCGAATAAGTAGTGAATGAACGAAATCGGCTTCAGACACAGAGGACGGAGCAGTCATCCACAGTGAGGGCTTGGGTCTGGTGAAGACTTCCCTGTGGCCAGCCCCTGGCCCTGCCCCATGGGGAGCCCCTGCCCGTCTCCCCAGCCACTTCCCACACACCCACCAAAAAGCCCCTCCTGGGGGCCCCCCTCACCTTCTTTCCAGGAATGCCGGGCTCACCCTGAGGGGGGAGGCAGGGGGATGCAAGAGAGAGATCAGAGCATGGCCCAGACACCAGACCACTTGCTCTGGTAGAAGTGGCCTTGATGACCGGATACAGCCAAGAGATCCCGGCCCCCCAGAGAGGTGCACATGGATGGTGGGTGGGGCTGACAGTCCTGGACTCCACTCCTGACCAGGTTCCCCCCACGCTGAATGACCCTGGGCAAGTCACTGCTCTTGCAAGTGGGGATGTGACGTCTCAGCCTCCAGGGGGTGTTTCTGAGATGAGGAAGAAAGCAAGGAAAGCCCTTCTCCTTCAGGGCAGAGCCCAGCTCCACCCCCCACCCCAGCAGGCAGAGAAGAAAAGGAAGAGCTGACCTGTGGGGTAGGGGAGGTGAGGTGAGCCCATCCCTCCCAGGCCTGGGGCAGCGGACAGGGAGGGGACAGGGAGTGAGGAGTACTCACCTTGGGCCCTGGGGGTCCCTTCAGGCCCTGGAACAAGAGAAGAAAAAGTATTAAATGGGGTCCTGAAGGCTGCTTCTCGGCCTCCTCCTCTTCTTCATTGTACAGAGGGTGATACCAAGTGCCAGAGGCCAGGCCTGATGCCCTGTGTCGAGGGCCGGCCTCCCCAAATGCCCTGGATACTGACCATCTCGCCGTCCCGTCCAGTCTCTCCTTTGGGACCCTGAGGAGGCAGAAGAGGAGAACCTCTTGAGGGGACGCAGGGGATGAGGGGACGCAGGGACTCCCCGGTTAACAGAGCCCACTCCCCGCGCCAGGCCCTGGGCTGGGGCTGCAAGCAGTCTCTCGTTTCATGAGTTCTTGTTCCCACTTTGCAGATGAGAATGTTGAGGCTCGGGGAGTTAGGTGCCCAACGTGAATAGGACTGGATGAGCATCTGAGTAGCTGGCTGCCCTGAGAGCGGACCCTGGTGGCCGTCTGGTGGCAGAGCTGGCTCTGCGTGGGATGGGAAGGACAGGCCTGAGTCCCTGCAGTAGGGGAAGGGGTAGTACCAAGGAGTCTGGCCTCCAGGCTCTGGGTAGAACTATAGGAGGACAACTGAGCCTAACTAGTTAGTACTGGAGGGAGGGAGGGAAGGAGAAGGAGAGAGAGCCAGAGCTGGCGGAGGGGGTGGGGCGTAAAATCTGGGGAGGAAGCGCCCCCATATGGGTCTCAGGGTTAGGGTTAGGAATGCGACTAAAATTGCAACCAAGGTCAGGTTTAGGGTCTCTGGTTGTATTTGGGGTTAGGGTGGAGGGTAAGAGTTGGGTTTGGAGTCAGGTCAGAGTGCAGGGGTCAGAGGTAGAGTCTGGATACTAGCCAGAAATAAGGGTGCGGACCAGGATTTGGGAATGAGTTTGGGGTCAAGGTCTTAAACGGCATGAGGTATAAGGCTGGAGTGCGGCAGGTGTCTGGGTTGGCTGGGGTTGGGGTGCGGCATGGGTCTGGGTCTGGACTGGGGACAGGGGTATTCCACCTCTGTGCCCTCTCTTACCGCCGGGCCTTGTGCTCCCCTGGGGCCATCTTTCCCTGTGTCTCCAGGAGGGCCCCGGGCCCCAGGAGGTCCAGGGGGCCCCGGAGGCCCAGCAGCTCCATCTCGCCCTTGGTCTCCCTGGAAGAGATGGGGCCTGGCTTACTGTGAGGGGGAGGGAAGGGGCTCTGGTCTCCAGAGAGGAGCCTCTGCAGACGGACGGCCCGATGCCTTCTCTTCCCCAGTCCTTGGTGGGCTCAGAGCAAAGTGTTGGGCTTTTCCCTGCTTCTTGGCGGCCGCAGGAAGGGACAGGTCCCTGTACTTTGGCGTAAAAGGCTAACAGGACCTTCTACACTCCAAGGGATGTGCCATCTTCCCAGCCCTTAGTGCCGGGAGCCCAGCTCTGGTGTTTCGTTGAGAGATGAGACACGCTGGGTGCGGGAGTGAAGCATGTGGGCCCCACCAGCCCCCTTCTTCCTGGAAAGGGGGCGGCACACATCCTGAAGGACCCTCCTCGTTGGTCAGCTCCTACTTTATTCAGTGCTGGAGGTGCGCTTCTGGGCACTTACCCAGAGAGATGAAAACTCACGCAAATCCTCACAGCAGCTCTTAGGTGTAACGGCCCCAAACTAGAAGCAACCCAAATTGTCCTTCCGTGGGTGGATGGTTAAGGGACGGGGCTACAGCCCTGTCACGGAGCAGTGCTCGGCAATAAATGGAAAGGAACAAGGAGGCACAGCCACGTTGCAACGACTCGGATGCATCTTGAGGGAATGTTGCTGAGTGAGAAAAGCCGATCTTACAAGGTGACCATACTCTATGGCTGCAAATACACCACACGGCTGACACGGAAAGATCACAGAGATGGAGCATGGGTCAGTGGCTGCCTGGGGCGGGGGTAGGGATGGGCGACTGTAGCAGCACAAGGGGTCTTCGTGCGGTGGTCACTGGAATCTCCTGAGCGTGATGACGTCGCCCAGACTTAAGCACACCCAGATGGGCAAAATGGCTGAGCTCCGAATGGGGCAGGTGGATTGTGCCAATTTCCTGGTGGTGAGACTGTACTCCGGGGGAGGCCGGATGTCACCATCGGGGGAACGTGGAGGACAGGTGCATGGGGTATCATTTCGTACAACTAATTGTGAACCTACAGTTATCTCAAGATAAAAAGTTGAAAAAAAAAAAAAAGAGCAACGAAAGGCCACAAAGTCTCAGTCATGCAGCATCCTGTCCCCGACTCAAGGACCCGGTGTTAGTATGGGGTCAGACCTCAGGCAGCCGGAGCCCTCACCTCGTGGTCCCAGCTGCAAGGATGGGGGAACCACGGCGCCACTGGTGCTTTCTGTGGCCTCCGTGGTTCCCGCCCAGCACTGGCGCCGAGCATAGTCATGGGGCTCGGCTGGCTCACCACGACAGCAGCCCCCAAACTTCCCGTGGACAGGAAAGGAGGAAGCCTCTTGTGGAGGTAGCCCCCGCTGCGTGCCCAGCACTGACCTTCCCGGAAACTGGCTCGCCCAACCCTTGCGACCACCTGGCCAAGGCCCTGCTATGGACCCATTTTACAGATGGAGCGGTCGGGAACAGAGAGGGTAACTGTCTCCCCAGGGTTACAGAGCTAAGAAAGGCAGCACCTCTTCTGGCCACTGAGGCAAGCGATGCCTTTTGGATGCATTTTTAATCCCTGGATCCCATGATGTGAAGGTTCACCTTTCTGGCCAACTGGACTTTCAGACAGTTCATTTGTTTCCCCCAGTTAAAGAATTAACTGAGGCTCTCAGTGTCCACCACTCAGGGTCCCGACGCAGAGGCCATGACTCCAGTCCAAAGTAAAGAAAACCGACAGTTTGGTTAGCTCGCCCAGGCGCGGGTGGGGATGGTGGTGGGTAATTCCTCTTCCATTTGATGCTGTGTCAGGAAGACTTGGAAGATACCCCATTCCCCGCTGTTCCCTCCACAGCCCAGGGGCCCCACGGTGGGCACCACTGGCCGGACTCTACTTAATGAGGAGGAAAATGGGTTTCGACACTTGAGCAGGCCCCAGCAGAGGTTAGTAGGCTTGGCCTTGAGTGACTTGGGACACGAGGCTGGCCTTGTATGCGCACTGGGATCGGCTGGCTGAGGTCTAACCCTGGAAATGCAGGGGTGAGTCAAGGGAGCACGCAAACCAGCAGGCCCGGACACGCAACTGTACCCATGATGGTCTCTACTTATAAAGCCTGGATTGAGCCGTGGGAAAACCATCTGGCCAGCAAACAGGTTGTGTAGTCAGGAAGGCAGAAAGGGTGACTTAGGAAAGGACAAGGCTGTTTCTGAGGGCAAAGCCACTTCACCCAGACCAGCGACCGGGAGAGGCAGACTATGTTCTCCAAAGGTGGCCACTACGCTCGTTCCCATCCCACAGGTCCCTTGCAATGGGGTCCCACCCACCACGCCCCATCAAGAGCTGGGGGCCTGTTCCTCTCTCTCCACCTTGACTTTGGATGGGCCCCGTGACTGATGGGACGGACAGGATGCTGAAGAAGTAAGGCCTGCCAGGCTCTTAACTGGCCTGGCAGGTACGCTTCCAGCCTCCTGGAATGCTAGTCTTGGGATGCCCCTCTGGGAGGCCCACTGCCACACTGGGAGAAGCCCTGAAGCACAGAGACCCCCCCCCAGCCGAGCTCCCAGCCAACAGCCGCACCGACCGAGGCCAAGGGAGGGTGCCATTGTCTTGGGCTGCAGGCCCAGCAGCCTCTGCCTTCGATGAGCGAGATTCCCCCACCAGCCCACGGGGTCATGCGGGACAGTGACACGTTGCTGTTTTAAGCCCCGGAACTCTCAAGGGCGGAGGTTGTTTTGGAGGTGGCTTGAACCTTGGGACAACGAGGGGACACCCATGAAGGGCGCAGGAAGGGCTTTGGAAAGGATGTCTCGTGACTCCCGGACTGGGGGAGTTCTAGTCTTTTGAGGCGTGGGCACCCCCTTTTTCAGAAGATCAGCGTGGCCAGCCGGGGCTCTCAGCTCCTGCTTGTGACCATCTGTGATGTGGGCCCTCCCGGCCTGGTGCACAAAGCAGGCTCGGAGCTGTGAGGCTGCAGAGCTGGGACTGGGACCCTGCCCACACCTGGTCCTGCAGCTGCTTTCCCTTCCCATCCCCCATCCACAGTGCCCACCTCTCAGCCCTGCTCCATCCCTGCCTCTAGGGCTTACAGAGGCTGGCTGGGGGGACTCGCTCACCCACTACAATTTCCACCCATAACCTTGAAAACCCCTGGGAGCACACCCCTCTAGTGCAGTCAGGCCTCCACCCCGGTGGTGGTAGGAATGGTGGTGGCATGCCTTTGGGGCCCCTTACATGACCCTCTCTCTGCCCAGATCTGCTTTGTGGGGCCCACCCCACCCGGGCTCTGTACTCTGCTTCGTTGAAGAGACCCCAGGCTTGGCATGAGGCCCTTCTGGGTCCCTTGGGCCTTGGGGACACTGAGGGCCAGGGGATCTACTGTCCCCATGCTGGGTGCTGGGTGCCCATGTTTATGACTGCAATGAACCTTCGCCACAGCAGCTTGGGTCAGGGGCTGTCAATCCCACCCACCACAGTTGGAGAAACTGAGTCACAGAGGGGAAAGTGAGTCGCTCAAGGTTACTTCCTGGTAAGTGGCTGAGCTCAGCTGCTGACCCATAACCTTCCCTCTTCCTGGGGTGCCAGCCATCCTCAGGAAGGTTAGTCTCGGGTCTGGGGCCAGTGCTAGCCCTGCTGTCTCCCCTGCCCCGCATCCATGGTGACAAGTAGGACTGGGAGGAAGCCCTGGGACTTCCATCCTGTGGCCACTTAAGTGAAACCACACAGAAGGACGGACGGTGGGCGGTGGGCAGAGACCATGGGCCCGTGCGGTAAGGTGTAGGGAGCCAGAAGAAATGCTAGATACGCCTTATTATACGATAACACAAACTGTGTGGGGCGGGTGAGGGGGTCTTGCGTCAGCTCTTACCCGAGGGCCAAGGTCTCCGGGTGCACCCTGAAGACAAGAAGCAGGAAGACAGATCACTGCTACTATTATTACTTTATCATATGTATTGAGCATTTACTCTGTGCTCCGTGCTTTACATGCGTAGTCTCACCCAAGTCTAACAAACATAACATGTGGGCTCTATTTTTAATCTCCGTTTCCAGTGAGGAAACCGAGGCACAGAGAGGCTAAGTAACCAGCCCAAGGTCACACAGCCAGCACACGCAGGGCTTGGAACCAGGCGCTGTGTTGTCTGGGGCCGGCCGCTAGACACAGCGAAGCAGAGACGAGCTGCTCCCACCGTGTCCTCTTGGAATCCTGGAACCTCGACACAGTGAGGGCTGGTAATTACTTGATTGTTTGAAGTCACCAAGTTTTGGGGCAGGATGTTACGACGTGACGGATGCCAAGATGCCAATTTCTCTCTGGGTTCAAAGCCTCTGCTTTGTTCAGCCGGAGCCAACGAGAAGGAAATCTCTGTGAGGTTGCTTTAAGTGACAGATGGAGAAACTGAGGCCCACGGAGCCGGCCAACCCATCGAAAGCCATGCAGTTGGTGGTGGAGCCCTAAAGCAAACCTGGATGCTCTGAGCCCTGGCTCCTGTACCCGGCACAGCTCTGAGGGTGGATGGGGACCCTGGCCGCCCTCACTTACCTCACTGGGGACATCAGAGCAGGGGGCTGGGGTGGACGCGGCTGGGGTTCACCCAGCCCTTCCCTAGAAGCGTCCTGCCACACCTGCATCTGCTCTGGCCCCTCCCTAGCTCTGATCCCACAGTGGGACACACAGGTGGCCCCTCTCGCCCCCTCCCTTCCGTGGCACTTGGAGGTCCCAGCCCTCCAGGGGTCTGCCGTGACATTTCATGCCGAATGCCAGGGAGGCCTTTCTCACAAGGGGCTGTAAAGATCACAGGGGCAGCTCTTGGCCATCTGTTTGCCTGGGGGGGGCATGCACTCATCACAAAGAATACCATCTATAATGACTGTTCAACTCTTCCCCCCACCAGGCTCTCCTGCCTCTCCCCCCGCCCCGCCGCCTTCATGATTACTTGCTTTGGAAACTCCTTATTTTGGGAAGACTGTGCTTTGAGTTTAGTCTTTCTCCGGTGGAGGGTGGGACTCCAATGTCACCCCCCGGGCACTTGAAATTGTTAAACATAAGCCGTGTAATCATTAGGAGGGAGGCACTCTTAGCCCCACTTTCCAGATGGGGAAACTGAGGCTTCAGGAGGGGTGTGACGTGCCTGGGGCCACACTCCGGAGCTGGGGTTTGGGAGCAGGTTTCTGGCGTCCATCATATCCCCAACTAGACAGCTGCCAGCATCACTTACCTTTTCCCCTTTGGGGCCTGGAAGTCCCTGTAGAAAAAAGGTGCAGAAAGACAGGCATGAGCGAGGAGGACTGGGCTGGCTCCCCTTCTGGCTTCCCTAAGGCTGTGGGGGCAGAAGGGCCTGTGAAGCTGAGCAGAGCTGTGGGTAGCTGGGTGGGGAAACACGTAAGTCTGTCTGCTTTTAATGAGGGCTGCCTTTGCCGGCCCCAAGGAAGCTCCACACCCCAGTCCTCTGCATGAGGGAGGCAGGGGACTTGAGGGTCGCCGGGACCTCTCAGTTGGGGTAGGGGCACATGTGCTGTCACTCCCCCCAGAGAGCAGAGCCCTTCCAGCTCAGCCCCTGCTGTGCCCGGCAGCCGCTGCCCCCTAACTGTCCATTATCCCTTCAGTCCATAATGGTTTTGCTGGTTCATTCACTTAACAACTTGTCCATCTAGGAGGTCAGTTCATTCCTCCATCCTCTAATACGGTACACATCATCTGGCAACACCTCAATCACTTCTTTCATTCATTCCTCACTTCCTTGTCTGCTCAACCATCATGCATCTGACTGTTGGTACAATTATTGATTCATTACCTCATTTGACTATCTTTCCGTCCAAACATCCTTCCTTCCTTCCATCCACCCACCCATCCATCTGTTCATCAGCCCATTCATCTATCTATCCATCTGTCTATCCTTCCATCTAAACATTCATCAGTCCATTTGCCCGCCCATCCATCCATCCATCCATTTACCGTACCTTCCTTCCTTCTATCCTTCCATCTATTCATGCATCCATGCATGCATCCATCCATACTTCCATCTATCCATTCATACATCCTACCTTCCATCCACTCACATATCCATCTGTTCATCAAACCATTCATCTATCTGTCCATCTGTCTGTCCTTTCAGCCAACCATTCACCAATCCGTTTGTTCATCCATCCATCCATCCTACCTTCCTTCATTCCACCCATCCATCCATCCATTGTTCCATCAATCCATCATACATCCTCCCTTCCATCCACTCACCCATCCATCTATTCATCAACCCATTCATCTATTTATCCGTCTGTCTGTCCTTCCATCCAACCATTCGCCAATCCATTTGTCCATCCATCCATCCACCCATCCATCCATCCCTCCTTCCATCAATCCATCCATATATCCATCCTTCCATCAATCCATTCATATATCCTTCCTTCCATCCACCCACTCATCCATCTGTTCATCAACCCATTCATCTATCCATCCATCCAACCATTCATTATCTAACTATTCATTATTCATCCATCCATCCATCCACCCACCTACCTATACATCCAAATCCAACTATATATTTAATTATGCTGTCTCCCTGAGCAGCTTATTCATTGTGCTGAAGATGCCTGTGGACTGCAGGCTCCTGCCCCAGATGTTGAGAACTCATCAGCCCAATGCCTACCACTGAAGTCTTGAGACTGCATGGGAAGATGCTCTGTGCCTGGGGCTGGCTAGAAGGGGCTTGTTTGTTTTGAAGGCTTACTAGATATCAGGGATGGTGCTATCCACACTTCTCCACATCCCCAGCATGTTGGGCTGGGTAATGTGGGGAGCGTTAACAGACCCATTTGACAGAGCCTCAGGCTTGGGACGTGAAGGGGCCTCCCCAAGGCTGAATAGTCAGCAGGTAGTGAAACTGGATTTGAACTTCAGTCTGATGCCTAAATGACTTCTCTCCATGCTGAGCCATGTATCCAGTGGCCCCTTCCCTCTGGCACCCCACCATCACTTCCAGCCCCACAAGTGGCCCAGTCCCAGGACCACTTAGAATTGCCCTGTCATCACTTACGGGCTTGCCATCCAGACCTAGTGGCCCCTGGAAATGAGAGAGACAGAGAGCACAGGTTACACACCAGAAAGGCATTTCCTGTGTGTTTTATGACCCAGAGGCACTACTGAGTATCAGAGACCAAGACCTGACATGAGCCCACGGTCTGAGTACATTTCACACGGACCTGGAGTGGAGGCATCTGGATCTTGCTGCCCAGAATCCCCTCCTCTGACAAGAGAGCCCCTCTTCTTCTCCAGGACCACCCCCATCTGCACATATGGGGCTTGGGCGTGTGGTCACATTCCCTCAACCAGAGTGAGTGGTTCAGGGATGAGCATCATGTCTGGGACTTTGAATGGCGGCCCCTTTAGGAGAAAGAGGGCTCTTTTCTCCTGATGGGGCTAAGGTGGAGCTCCTGGGGGTACCAGGAGGCTTGAGGAAGAGCCAACAGAGAGGAAGTCAGAGTTGAAAGACAGAGAGAAAAACGGGACAAGGGGTCTGAGCTGAAATCACCCACCCCTGCACACTTCCATTTGTCCACGGTTTTTCTTTAAGCCAGTTCGAATTGAGTTCTGTCACATGTAAGTTGGCAGGGACTGAATGTGTCCCCACCCCCCAGATGCATGTGTTGAAACCCAGTGTGATAGCGCTAGGAGGGGGGTCTTTTGGGAAGCGATTAGGTCATGAGGGTGGAGCTTCATGAAGGGATGGCAGCCTATTTAGAAGAGAGGCTCCAGAGAGCTGCCTGCCTGCCACAGGACACAGGGAGGAGACGGGCGCCTGCAGCCTGGAAGAGGGCCTCCACCAGAACCCGACCACGCTGGCACCCTGACCTCAGACCTCCAGCTTCTAGGACGGCAAGAAGTCGATTTCTGTTGTTTCTAAGCCACCCGGTCTGTGGTGCTTTGTTGGGGCAGCCAAAACAGGCTAAGACAGGACTGGAAGAGTCCTGAAGGCTCTTTGAGTTCCCTGCACTGCTGTGGCCTTTGCAGGCCAAAGTCAAGGTCAAGAGAAGCCAAATCGCTCAAGGCTGGGTCCCAAGGGCTGGGACATCTCAGAGGCTCTGGGGGCTCCATGGTGTTAGGTACCGCTGCCAAGCAGCCCCCACAGGCGCCCTCCGCCTGTCCAGCCGCTGCCCACTTAGAAAGCTCCGCTGAGCTCCATCACCCGGTGGGAGTATACAAGAATCCAAGGGCAGTGCCGCAAACCGGGTCCATCCGTTCTCTGTCAACCCCTGTCCTCCTCCCTGCCACGGCCTCCTCATCCCCACAGACACCGCAAATGTTCTAGGCAGCTCCACTCTCCCGAGCCTTCGCGCACACCGCCTGCCCGCCTGGCACACCCTTCGTCCCCTTGTGCGCCATCTTCAGCTCAGTCACCTCCTCCTCCACGAAGCCCTCCAGGCTCCTCCACTCCCCAGAGTCAGGCCATCTGCTCCTGCACCCAGCACTTTTTCTAGGTGTCGCACATGACACCATGCATTGTTACCGTGTGGTCTACACAAGTCTTCCAGTGGATCCAGGAAAAGGGTCTGATCCCCGTGTCGCCAGTGCTCGGATGAAGCCTGGCGCAGAGCGTGCACCTCTCAATGTGTGTTGAGTCAAAGCAAGGAAAGGTAGCGAGAAAGAAGCGTGTGCAGATACATAGGGGATAAGACGGAAAGTTCAGGGGCAGGACAGACAAAGGGTTCTGCCAATTCTGAGCAGGATGACAGCCTGCCAGGCTCTGGGGGGTATTGGGAAAGATTAGGGAGTGCTAGCCTGAGAAAATAGCATTTGGGCATTTAGGGAGGGCACCATGGGCAGAGAGCACAGCCCAGAGGCAGAGGGCCAGCTCTGCCTCGCATCAACCTCCCTCCCATCCTGGTCTCTCTCACATGGGTCTGTCCCTGTCACTGTGGAGGCTGTGCTCCCCGGCCCAGCTCTGGAGTCCTCTTGGCCAGGGCCAGCCTCTGCCTTGCGGTTGTCCTGTGTCCCTGGTCTTCCCAAGCTCTCTGCTTCTTTCCCATCTTCATGCCTTCGCATGGGCTGTTCCCTCTGCTCGCTGGGCCCTTCCCTGGCTCCTCCATCTGGGAGACACTCTGGCTCCGGGAAGCCAGTCTCTCCTCCCTCGGGTCTGCACACGGCCTGGGAGCCAGCAGCCCTGGCCGCCGGGCCCAGCAGGGAATAGCCAGTTTCCCTGGCTCAGCCACCAGACCTCCCTGAACCATACAAGTCCCCAGATGCCCTAAGAGGGGCTACTCCTTGAGGCGTTCACACCAGGGCCTCGCTCCAGGCAGGAAACCAGGGCAATTCTGAAAATTTGTCCCTTAAGTGCCTCTGGCCACCAGCCTCGAGGTCGGCTGAGGGTCTGGACTTCGGGGCAATGCCCTGGGGGCAGATGGAATCCCAGGAGATGGGTAGTGCAGCCATTCCAAAGTCTTGGGGGTCTCGGCTCTGGGGGCTCCTGGTCAGGTCCTCAGCCCCAGCCCCAGGCCCAGGCCTCGTTGCTGAGGCTCACCAGGAGCTGCCTCGCTGGCCCATCTGCTGGCTCCTGGCTGTTCTGACCCCTGGATCCACATGCCTGAGGCCTCCTCCCCTTAGTCTGCTAACACTGGGCCCTGCACCTCCTCTACTCCCCACGCTCAGGCCCTGCTAGGCCTCATGGGGCTCAGTCCCACCCTGGGTCTCACCTGGGGGCTCTTCGTGGCCCCCATACTCAGTCTGAATCACCACAGCAAGCGTGTAAGGCAGGTCTTGTCATCCCTCTCTTACAGAGGAGTAGACTGAGGCCCAGGGAGGGAAGGCCTTGCCCCAGGCCAGGCAGCCAGTAATGAGGCAGGGCTGGAGCCCAGAAAGGCACTTCAGGTCTCTGTCCTCTGGGCGCCGACATTCCTGGCCACGCTCCCCCATCTGCCCAAATCCATCCTGCAGATGAAAAAGACTGAGATGAAAAAGAGACGAAGGTGCAGCTTAGAGCTAAGTTAATGTCCTTCCTCTTCACGCACTGGGAGGGAGGACACAGTGGGCCTCACGGCCAAGTCATTGGCAGCTATAGGGGCCCCTGACAGGGCCTGGGACCCCGTGCAGGGCTGGTCTGAGGGAAGCGGGCACCCCTCCCCTTGGGGCCACAGAGGCAGAGACTCTCTGGGGCAAGTCTACGAATGCTCCAATGCTCATCCACATGGACCCCACTGAACCCTGCCATACCCTGCACGGCTTCTGCTCTCACTGCTGCCCTGGGAGGTGGGCCCCGGGGCCCCATCCTGCAGATGAAGAAGCTGAGCCGGTGGGACCGCCCAAGGGCTGAAACAGGCTCTCCTCTCTACGCAGTGCTCCCTCCCCTGCAGCATAGGGCAGCACGGTTGACAAGTGGCTGTCCCGGAGGACCTAGGATGGAGCCTTGCAAGCCTTGCCTTCCTCTGGGATTCCTGGGATGTCTGCCTCCCCAGCTGAACAGACCCTCTCTGGGCAGGGCTCTCTGGGCCCTCTGTCACCCTAGCCCTCTAGCAGAGGGAGTGCTGTGTGGACCTGGGAGAGCCAGTCAACCTCTCTGAGCCTCAGCATCTTCCTTACCTGTTCTCCCCAGCAGGGCTGTTCCTGCCCTGGGTTCGCCCCAGTTTTCCCCTAAACTCTGCCACACCACAGCCTCCTGGTGGCCCCTGGGATTTGGAGAGAGCTGCTCCAGAGGTCTCAGGGCTACATCGGGTGCCTCTGGAGGCCCACGGACTTTCACCCATCATGCTGTTTCCTGGCCCCAAGCTCTGCTTTCCCAGTTCTCTCCACTGCACACAGTCCTGCCTCCACCTGGAGAACTCGTACTCATTCCCCAAGGCCCAGCTCAGATGGCCCTTCTGGGAGCCTCCCCAAGGAGAAGAAGCATCCCCTGAGTCTGTCTGCCCCAGAGCTGGGTCCCCATCCTTCTGGAAGAGAGCCCCGTGGCCGAGCTCCAGGAGACACGCCAGGCGGTCAGAGGAAGCCGGCTCTGGATTCAGACACACCTGGGACCAAATTCAGCCTTTCCCACATGCCAGCTGGTGACCTGGGCCTCATCATCTGTGACAGGGAGATGCAGGCCTCCCTGCGTTGCTGGCCTGTGTGTGTGTGTGCGTGTGTGTGCTGCTGAGAAGGGGCTATGTGTGCTGAGTGAAACATAGGAACTGTGCAGACAGAGACAGGACAAAGCAAGCCTCCTTCTCTTCTCCCCAGCTACTCTCCTGGGGGGCAGCACAGGCACCGGTGTCAGCATGACCCCCCCAGGAAGCAGTCCGTGCCCTGGAGAAGCACATACGTGGACCCCCGCCTTTTTTATTTTGAAAGTCCTCTATGGGCTGAGCAGCATACGTCTGTGGGTCCATCTGCCTTAATGGTGCCGGGGAATCTGGTCCCTGGCCCTGCAAGGCACATCATAGCCCTCCTCACTGCATTCCAGGAAAGGCCTATGACATATACTGAGACCCGAGCATCATCCCCAGGGCCCTTCCCTAACACCTGTGGTCTCTCCCATGCAATGCCCTGGAGAACTTTCTAGAATGCAAATCTGCTCTCCTGCTTGAGCCCCTCTGGGGTGGCCTCACTCCTGAAGGATAATGTCCAGACCTCCCGGTCTGGTGCCCAAAGCCCACCTGCCCCATCCTGGCACGGGGAGCATGTGTCCTGGTTTGGCCTTTCCTGGGGCTGGGGCTCCCTCTGGTCCATCGCTGGGTCCCCAGGCCCTGTTCCAGGATGTCCGCTGGGTGGACAGAAAACACACAGAGCTGTAGGTGCCCTGCTTTTCTAGAAGTGTCTGCTGCAGAAGGGAGCCTGGGGTATTCCCTCAGCTTGGACCCCACAGGAAGAATCTCTTGTTGCCAACTGTCTCTGAAAGTATTCCACGGCAAGACCTTGCTGTCTCTTCTTGAGAGTGACCTTGGGCCTCCTGTCTCCTGGGAGGGATTCTGCCCTCTTTCAACTCCCAGATTATTCCCGGGGGGTCCCCAAGGCCTCTTTCTGGTGTGTGACAAAGCCTACAAGTGGCAAAAACCCAATTTTCCTCCCTAGGGCCCTGACTCTATCTGGCATCCCA